AATAAAATATTTGGTATTCCGTTATGTGGCCTATCTGGGCTTATAAAGAAAAAATTTCGATCCCGCCCCTGATAATGCCAAAGAACCTAGTTTCTCGGTAGATTGGTGTCAGTCTTTCTATCCCGCGCCCAATCCACCGTATCCCCCACACAAATTAAATTTTAAGAAAAAGGCGTATCTGACTTTATTAGGGGAAGAAGCAACCTCTCCCCCCGATAATGCCAAAGAGCCGCGTTTTCTCTCTCTCTACATATCTTTGTGACATGTCTTTCTATCTGACACCCGATCTACCGTATCCCACCGTACACAACCTTGAATGCAATGATTTATTCGCCAACTCGGGACACTTAATATCCAGGGGCAAGACGAGCCGGGGGGCAGTGATCGCAAGATCCAGGAGCACCAGGCTGTCCATTTCCGCCGGGTCCTCCAGATGGTCCAGGAGGTCCAGGGGGTCCACGCTGCCCAGGCTCTCCAGGAGCTCCAGGTCCACCGGGGAATCCGTCCTTTCCGGGGCCACCAGGGCGTCCGGGCTGTCCGGGAGATCCAGAGCGTCCGGGTTGTCCAGGGGGTCCGGGGGGTCCACCGTTTCCGGGGACAAGAGTGCCGGGCTCTCCGGGTGCTCCGCGTTGTCCGGGCTGTCCGGGGCCTCCGGGGTTTCCGGGAGCTCCAGCGGGTCCTTGGGGTCCGGGGGCACCATCGGAGCCGGGGTTTCCGGGGGCACCGGGCTGGCCGTCGTTTCCGGAGGGTCCTGAAACGATATTTTTATAATATATAAAATATAACATTTTATTAACATAGTACAATTCAAACATTATGATTTTTAGGATTTTACAAATTTTTTGGAAACCATAGGTGCGCAAAGCAAAAGCCAAATGTATCAAACTCTATATTATGGAGGTATGCCTTATAAGTGTCGCACGTTCGCTACAACTCACTAATCCATACGGTTTATACTATGCGCTCGTGAATTTCCGCCATATTTCCTGTATTTTCTTGTTTAAAAATGGGTGATAAGGCGTGGATTTATGGATATTTCTATGGATTTTTAAATGAATAACTACCGTACCTGGGGGTCCAGGAGTCCAGGAGCGGATCGGCAAGGGCACTGAGGAGGGAACAGGCAGGAGACGATCATGGAGATCAGCATCAGGGCCAGGGTCCATCGAGGCCGGGTCCACGGGAGGGCTCTCCATCACGTCCAGGGGTTCCTGGGGGGTCCATCAGCTCCGGGGGGTCCTTGCTGGCAAGTGCAGCACTTGGGCCTCGGCTTGCCTGGAGAAATCCGGGAGAGTATTTCGTACTCCAGTAAGTCGAATCGATTTTTAAAGGGATGGTGCCTCGAAGTGAAAAATGGTTACCTGGTGACACGGACAAGAGCATCAAGAGCATCCTCCGGTCCCTCAGATCCCATCTCGCCCATGCTCTTCCACATGTCGCGTGAGCCAGACTTGCGGTACTCAACCTCACCCTATGAAAGAAATTAGAGATTTATTACGGCATCCTGTGTTGCTCCTTCTCCATCTTTCACGCTCTTTCTCTCTCTCTCTCTCTCTCTCTCTCTCTCGCGCGCTCCCCCACGGCACTTTTTAGAAAAATATGGGGTTGCGGGAAGGAACCAGTCATACCACCTCCACCTCCTGCTCCTCGTTCCACCTCCCCCGACCGCCTGATCCGGGACAAAAAGCCCCATGGCGGGAAGGGGGGATGGAGCACGAGCTCAAAAGACTTGGAGGGGAGGACAGAGTGCCAGCCAAGGTCGCCCTCTATTGCTCCCCACACAGTCACACAACACCGCACTTTGAGGTTTGACAAAGGCAAAAGAAGAAGCCCGAGCTTCTAACTCATTTTTTTGGTGATATTCGGACTACAGAGCAAAACGCAAAAAGTTTGGCGGCGGGCAGAGTCGAACCCTGGTCTTGAGATTGAGAGGCAAATGCGCTAACTTTGTAACTCGGCCACGCACTTTAAATTATAAAAATAGGACAAATCGTTTCTTTTTTATTTTTAAAATGTTGTATCATTAAAACTAACCTGAACGTGAGCCTGGAGGGTCTGCACATAGTGGAAGACCAAAGGGAAGGCCAGAAGGCAGGCCGTCATGGCGAGCTGAAATCACCCTTTAAATAATTGTAAATTAGTTGGTTTTTAATTATAAAACCATTAAAACCTAGTTAAAATGAAAATCTACGCTCACGCTACGGCTACGCGACACGCCAAAACACGCCGGTAAAGATTCTGGTGGTTTGCACGACGCTAGAACGTTACATCGATAAAAGCAGCGCTTTTTTGCGCGTCGTGAGTCGCTGTCGAAGGGAACTCTAGTGGATTAAAGTTCGATTTTCGCGCTAGATGATCGCTTTAAAACCTTTGAATGACTTAGTTTTTGAGATCTAAATTTTATAAAATGTATAAATGTATAAAAATTTCGGTTGTTTAAAATCCGTCATAGGAGATAGGGATTAATTTTAACCAGGGTTGAAAAACCGCTTCGCGGCTTTTCAGCCCTAGCCACCTCTAGGATTTATGAAAGATTTGCATAATTCTTGCCAAAGAATGATGACCAAAAAAATGAAAACCACCCACTCACTTCCATTTTTATAAGCCATTTCCACTTCCGGCGTATGCTAATTTTTCCCTAACAAAGAGGCAAGCCAAGATTTTTACAAAAACCTAATTTTAATAGCGAAAATAACAATTTTTCGAAGATTTTATGTGTGTGCAGTCGATTACAGCCCCTTCTTTACCCTATGACGTTTCTTCCCTACCGAAAAAATGCTTCCCTGAGGCTCTAGGTGCGGAACATCCAAGCGGAAGTGCATGCAAATATCCATTGACCCACACAAACACTATTTTTTCATATATAGTAGGATGAATTAAAAAAACAATTTTCAGGTTTTAATTGAGTCTAAATTAAAATTATGATATTATAAAGAAGGGATTAAACGAACCGGTGGAAGACGACCGCCGCTGAAGGCGTCGCCCGCAGAGGAGCTCTTTTGGGGCTCCATCGTGGTTTGAGGTACAGGTGGACGGAGGCGGTTCTACACCCCTCCGCTTGGTGACACTTCTATATGCGGACAGGCCGTGGGGGGAGGGAATTGCCGCGGAATAGAGGGGAATTGAGGGACGAGGAGGTGGAACGCGCGCCCCGCGAGAGTCGCCAACGACACTCGAAAAAGCGCACGCGGCACCGGAACGTCGGAGAATACTAAAAGACCTTTGCTGGGGGAAAATTCCAAACCGTTTGGGGATAGATGCCAGAAGATTAGAAAAATTGAGATGGACAGTCACACCTCTATGGCCAACGGATGGCAGGGAGACTTCCTGCTCAAGAAAGAAATGGTTTTAAAATTTGTAAAACTCAAACAACAAAAATTTTGGCGCTCATTTGAAGCACCATGCTGGCTGAAAATGGTTTTAAAATGTGTAAAAAAAAATCAGAATGCAAGCTTTTCCGCCCAAGAAATCCAAAATCTGGTTGAACATTGATTTAGATTGCCGAAAACGTGGAATAAAACTTTAATGATTGAAGGGTGGGCAAATCTGGCCGAAAATTACGTTAAAAATCGTTTAAAAAAATGAAAAATAATTTCTTTTGCCGATTGTTCGTATCGAAAACCTGGGTTAAAAATGTCTTTCAAATGCCGAAAAAACCAAAAACCAAAATTTTGACGGCCAATGGAATCAAAAATCTGCCTTAAAATACTTTTAAAATGAGGAAAAACCAAAAAGCAAAACTTTCGCCGCCGAGGGAATCGAACCCATGGCCCTTCGCTTGCGAGGCTGACGCGCTAACCACTAGACTAGCGTGAAAAAGCGCTTGGAAAGGAAGGCTCGATCGAAATCTTGAAAAACCACGGTTTTTTGCAAAATTTACAGAATATAATAATTAAAAACGCAGTGTAATAAAGCGGTGATGCTAGAAATTATAAAAGGGTGCTTCCGGGTTATCGGGGGTCGGTTATTTTAGCGGGGGTCGGTTGCGAACTTTTTTCTATAATATCGTGCGGCTCGGCAAATTAAGAACTGGCCGTTTTTATAGACTTGTGTGCCGTTTGAAATGGTTCTGGACTGAAAGCGGGGGAGGAGACATTAAGAAAAACGTCATAAAACATGTTCAAAAAAATTTTGTTTTTTGGTATAACGTATATGAAAATGGCTAAAACCGCGCTATAACCCTTGATTTCGTGACTATAGGATTAACATTTTTATAATTTTTGATTATCGGAAGCTACTAAAAACAGTATTAAAATAACCTACAATTTATCACTAGGCAGGTATAGGCTAAACCAAAAGAAGATGCCAACCGACCCCCGCTAAAATAACCGACCCTCACCAGAATTCGGCGGCGGAATCGAGCCTGCCACGCTTCGCTTGTAAAATAAACGCAGAAAAAGGAAAAGGAAACAGAAAAACCTTCAAAAGGGATAAAAAACTGAATTTCCATAAAAAATGAGCATCTTAGGGCAAAAATCCTAAACATGATCCGTTTATTCGTTCTACGTTGAGAAGATGTTCGGCATGTTAGTTTCGATATTCGAGCTCTAAAACCTATTTTTCAGCCTGAACCTCGACACGACCAAGCTCAAGGTGGGTTTTTACGCTAGCCTGCCAAAACCACAATAATTTTTCTGGCTTTAGCCGTGGGAATGGGCCTTCTTCTTCGTGATCCTCGGCAGCGGGCTGATGATCACCCCGATCGGCCTGTTCCTCAACTACTGGGAGCGCAACGGTGCGTAGAGTCCAAAAAAACAAATAAAGCTTGCTTTTCAGGAAAGCCGTCGATTCCAGCGCCGCGTCTTTTTCCATCTCCAGGAAAAAGGTACGGGGGAAAAGCCGAACCGGAAGACGCGGCTTTTGGCACTGAGCTGTTAGCGGGGGGGGGGCGCTTTTTCGAAATTTTAAAGTTTAAAAATATCCTAAAAAATTTTACATTGTCGAAGAACATTGATTTTGGCTCAAAAAAATATAGTTTTTAAATGTTCTAAACTTTTCGCACCGAAAAACTGCTAAAAATGCGTTAGATAACACCATAAAATGCTACAAATATTTGTTAAGCAGGTATAGGTTAGATCCCCCCTCTAACAGACCAGTACCCCGGTCTTTCAGCCCTCCTCAAGCTCGCCAAGGAGCACGAGGCGAAAGAAAAAGCTGGTGTCGCCAAGCCCGAGACGAAAGTTGAGGTTTTTTAAGCTTTTCCCTTCATTAAACTCGATTTCCCTTGTAGTTGACGCACAGCCGCGAGCTGTTGATCCCCGAGCAGAGCGACCTCTTCAACCCCAACTAATATGAACAGAGTTATTACAACACCGCCCATTTATTTCATTATTATTACGTCCGGATCGCAAATAAATTGTTCACATCCGGAATTCCTGTCCGTTCGCCGACTTTTCATGTTTCTGCATCTGATGGCAGCGCACCTGAACTGCGGGTAGCGCCTGGGATTCTTTTGCATTATCCGGGGGGTAGTAATTTAAAATCGAAACATTTTAATTGCGTTTTTAATATGTATCTCTAGTTAAGCCGAAAATTTCCTAGGAAAAGAGAAACGTCAGAAAAACGAAATTTGACTTGAAATCGGACAATTTTAGCCGGAAAATCGAGTTTTTAAATTTTATTTAATAAAAATTTACAAAATTACGTTAGTTTACGTTACGGATAGTAGGAAACAGGATAGATGTTTTAAAAATGAATTTCTGGTAGAAAATGCCAATTTTGGACAGAAAGCGTTTAATATATTTTGTTTATAATTTAATAAAACTTTACAAAATTGTCCTTTTGGGGATGGCAAAAAAACAATGAAATGGTTTAGATTCTTTAAAACCTTTTAAAAATAAGCCTACAATCCGTAGCTGCTCATATTTGTGTCGACGCTTCTCCGACAACCGCTCGTGCGCGTGGTGCTGGGCGTTGAACAGATGCTCGGCCATACAAGACGCCACCGCCCAGTCAAAGCTCGGCTGCACCTTGTTCGCTATTTTGCGTACGTTTTTCGAAGTTTCTAGTAATTTACCAGAGTAATGGATGGATTCCCGGAGTTCCGAAAGGTTTTCGACGCCCAGCACACAAATGCTGTGCTTCATGTAGTGGCTTTTGCAGCGTATCGGAATGAAATATGGGTTCCAGGTGTCTGTTCTAAAGATTATAGGTCCTTTACAGTGTTTTTAGTTAATTTCAACCATATTTGCGTTTGAAAAGTTTTCAAAATAAGGAAAAATTGGTCGTTTTCGACTGCGATTTTTCTACTAAAAATATCATATCTTCATTAAAATTTGTATTTTTAGAGCTTTTATACCAAAGAATAGCTAAGAACTACAATTAAAACCGAAATTATGCTTGACTTACCTTGACAACGGCCGTCCCAACTTCACCCCCGCGCTGCACTGCTTCACGGCGCCCGGCATTCCCAATTCCGGCGTACCATGCAGCGTCCCCAGCCAATACTCATCACCACCGTATTTCTGTTTGTCTCGCGATTGTATATTATTAACTAGATACCTTCGTATTGAATTGCGCCAACATCTTGTCCATCTTCACCTCATCCACAATCCATTTTACCGTTTTCCGATGAAGTGAGGCTTGCACGAAAGATTGCATGAAATTGAGGGGCACCTTGTTTCGAGGGTCTTTTTCTGGAAAATCTGTAGTTGTGAAAACTCTTAAAATGTAACCTGGGAAAAGCCGAAGATTCTTCACGCTCCAATCCAACGAATGGTCAATGCGCTCGCTGATGAACTTCTTTTGGAGTTTTATATCATTAGCGCCATCTAGCACTTCAAAAATATCCGAAAGCGCTGGGGTGCTTTTTGTTATCATGTCATGATTCTGAAACCGTATCCTACACGTTTTTCTTCACCCACCTGAAGCAGAATCACATATTTCCAACCAGAATCTACCCTCAAAAGCTTCTTCATACAGCTGTAATGGCCCCGATTTTGGTCGTGACCATTGCTATCGAAATTGTAGGTATCTGAGGTCTTATTCTTTCGATTTTCCGACAACCTACGATCCGTCAGATGCACGTTCGGAAGACATTGCGCCAATCTATGCATCCTTTTCTTGAACATGCTCTTTGCCTTCCGATCGATGGCAAAACAAAAATGAACGTCCGGGTGGTAATTTGCGGCCAGGCCCAACTCGATAAATTCGTAATCCTAGATAAAGCGATAGCTTAAAAGCTTCCAGGTTGACCTTGTAGACGTTTCGCGCAATTGCGAATGGGTTGTCCAGGTTGTTGAAGTATTCAGCGCCCATCAGAACACGTTTTCGAATCGCTCCGCAGCTGGATGAGAGCTTCTTCGGTACAAGCGGATGACGGGTTAGCAATGAAGACGGAAATAACTTGGCGTTTGATATAGCCTCTTGAAAGTTACTTGCAACATGTAGAGGCTATCCCCACGAAAAAGTCGCGCACAATCCACTTGCGCAACTTCCGGCCGACGACGAAATGAAGCATCCGCCTAAAGGTTCAGAGCAGAAGCCTAGTAACACTGGTTGATTGTACCTGAACTGTAGCGGGACCACGCCTGAAAAGATCAAACCCTTGAGGCTCATCGCAGTGAGGGAATGAAAGCGCACATGTCGCAGAACCCATTTTTCCCCATTAAGATCCAGATCCGAATCTCGGGATGATGGATAGTTCACTTTTTCAAAAGGGGCGTTCTTGCATGCAGTTTCGAGGCAACGTGGTCACGAGCAATCTGCTCGAGCGAAAGGACTGGTCGAATAAATCAGGATTAGCTTCATTAGCGAAACTGCTGCCAAAGAATCCTGCGGTGCTTCCGTGTTAGCGGGGGAGCAAGGAATATTTTTTTGCGAAGGCGGCCGAGGGGTGAAGGAATTAAAGTGAAACGATTTCCAATAGCATTTTACAGTTATTTTATTGAACAACAAACTCAAATAACAATACAAATGCGTTCAAAAAATTACAAAACCTTAGAAAACACAGACTTTTGCGCCGAAACGTATGATAAAAATCGGTCAAAAACTTCAGAATTATAAGATATTCGGATAAACTTCCATAGTGTTTTGGTGATCGGGAACTATCCAAAACCTGACTAATCTATCTTTTAATTCATTACTATACAGGTATACAGGTATTACTATACTTGCCCTTGCTCCCCCGCTAACACGGAAGCACCAATCCTGCTTTCAAAGTATTAGGTTGGACCGAAAGTAATTGTAATTTTTCGATTGTAAAAATTTCATGGAAGCCACCATCCGTTCACTTTAATTTTTTGCTATGATGGAGGTGCAAGATTTGTCCAGTTTCAGTTTGATTTTCAACCCGGGACTGCCACAAATTTTTTAATTAGCCGGATAAGAGCGCGCGCAACCCGGATTCCGGGTTATTGGTTTCCGTGAAGGATATCGCCGGCTGTTGCAACCCTAGTGACCTGAATAAGTGGTAATAGATAGAAAAAAGCTCGGTCTATAAAACGCATTACATAGAATTTTGATAAATAGCTTCATTATTTTTTCCCGGGGCAGTTTTAAAAGATGTCGATATGGCTTTCCGGGCACCGAATCGACAAATTCCTTTGCCGGCCGTTTTCTCCGAGTTCAGTGGATAATTTTTTCGATTGGATTCCATCAAAATGAAGCCCAGTGAACGCTGTTTAAAGCGCGTAGATCACCTAAGATCACATGTTCTGTCTCCGCCTGAGATTCAGACATGAATCGTAATTTCGAACACACTCTGGTTTTATTTTTTTCTGCGTGAAAGAATGGGTTTAGGTTACTGAAAATTTTAACACAGTATTTACTGCTAATGCCCAATAAGACTGTACTATAGAAAAATCTTGATTGGCAAAGGTGAAAGAGTAGCAAGGAAAATTGTGTGTCGACAGCCGATCTCCTGGTCGGTTAAATGATGCCTCACTAAGTTGCAAAAATTGTTCAGATAAAGAAGGGTGGGAAAAGAGCTGGGATTGATGCTATGTTTGTCATTGAAAACCATCTATGATAAAGGGATCGGATCTGATTTGATCGTCCTCAATAGCTTTATGAGAGCAATTTAGCCAAGCTCACCGAAAAGTCGGATTTTTATTCAAACAAATGAGAATATCGGCCAACGCTAAATCCGTTAGCCGAATTGGGCACCATAGCTAGAAAGATATTAAACTGGCTTTATACCTTACCGATTACGATGGGCGGATCACGACATTAGTAATTTTTATAAGGGTAGAAGCTAAGAGGGATCCCGGATGTCGCCGCCTCGGGTCGACCGATGCTCGGGACAAAATCAGTTATAAAAAAGTTGTTGAGCTAGGATCCGCTCGATATTTTTAGGGTATGTAGTACCTTGCTAGACCAAACAGAGAAAGTTGAAACCCAGCCAGCTCCTTGGTGGAGTTACTAGAAATATTGACCCAAAGATAGATTACAATTACTTTCGGTCCAACCTAATACAACCGCTCTACCAGTTTTCATACTTGTGTAAATCATGTTGCATAATTTTTTTGCATGCTCTAGACATGGTTTTTAAGATTTTTATTAATCGGCCGTAATGGGCGTCCCCAAATCACAACACGTATGTGTACAAGAATTCGCCAAAAAAAAACAATAACATTTTTAGGAATGGAGCATATCCCACCAAAACGACATGCAAAAAAGGATAAATAAACAGATGACACAGCCAAACTAGAAGGAGGATATAAATTAAATTTGCTGCTTGACCCGGATGAAGGCGGAGGAGGCAGAAGGGAATGTGCATCTTCTAGGCGCGGCTCCTCGTGTACTTGCCCCAGATGTGGAGGACGAAGACGCAAGCGATGAAGACGAGGGACATCACCAGAACGGGGACTGGCCCGCTGAAAAAAAGAATATTGAAAGAAGCAAAGAAAAAATTTTTGAATAAATTTTTAACGGTAAATCGTGCTAGACAAGCCGTGCGAAGTCTTTTGTATCATTAGAACACCGCAAACGTAGAAATATATTTCTTTTGCTTGGACGCTAAGGAGGAGCCCTAGTAATGAAGAAACAAGTGTAAAATAATACTATTTGCAACCCTGAGAGGGGTGCAAATAGTACATCCTTTTAACTAAAAAATAGAATTGAAAACAGAATTTGGTAAAAGAAAGGGGGGCTTAAAGCCGAATACCAACATCTTGAGGCCGGTCGAGTCCTCGGTATAGAAACGCCAGAGTCCACCATTTGCTCCGGCTCCGGCGGCTGGTCCAGCGGTGCGGGCACGGGCTCCGGATCCGGTGGCGGCCTTGCGCTGTCTCAGTTGAGTGCCTCCTGCGGCGCTGGCACGGGTCTGGCGGGGGCTTCGTCCAGCATCAGCCTGAAAAAAAGAAATTGACTTGAGCGCTTATACCCTCACCCAAAAACTACAGGCTATTTTCGGCCTAAAAATTTGGAGTGTCGGTTTACTTGAAATTCGTCACCTACTTTTCAAAAATTCGCCATCTATTCACCTTCAACTAGCTTAAAAAAACAAAAAAACAGCAAGAAAAGCCACGGAAAGAAGACGCGTTGTTGTGTAAAAGTTGTAAACTATCATTAGACGCTAACCTTTTGAAAAATTCACGGGTCCTAGCTTTGAACCAACATTTTACCGTCTCAATAAGCGTTAGATAAAAGACTTGACTATTATTAAAGATATAAAAAAATAGTGTTTGTGTGTGTGTGTGTGATACTTTGCATGCAACTTCCGTCACCATGTCCGGAGGATATCTCGATAGGGAATGAATTTTAAGGTATATATGATACGTCATTAGATGCGTAATGGCTCTGGGATGACTGCAAGCTTATCAGATTTTACAAAATTAATTGTTTTAGATATTAAATTTCAGTTTTTGTAAAAATTTCGGACACCCTCTTTGTTAGGAAACAATTAACATGCACCGGAAGTGGCGGTAGCCTATTTAATAAGGTAGAGAGTGTCATTTTTCATTTTTTCTCATCGGGATTCGAGAGAAGTATGCAGAAAGAAGAATATTATGGGGATAGACAGGGCCAGGGTTGAAAAGTCGCGAAGCGGCTTTTCCAACCCTGGTTATTAAAGAAAATCTATAAGTAGAAATTCAGTTATAACCGTTCTCAAAAAGAAAACTCACCATTTCGGAAGATTGGTGGTTGTTGAAGAGCGAATGTGAGGATCACAGATGCGTGAAGCCGAGAGAGGGTGTAGCCGGGCAGCCTGCGAGGGTCGAACGGGCCGAGAGAGCACAACGCTTACGGTAGGACTGCAATCCTGACCGCAGGCAAAATTTTCGAACACCGCGCGCCCCTGCTCCGTCATTTGTTTCGGCGCGTCCATGGCCTAAGCGGTTTCGACTGGAGCAAATTTTAGCTAGAAATCTTTTGAAAATCAAGACTTTTCGAAACTTTAGCTTACTTCTGTAATCAATTAATACTGAAAAGTTAACTTCAAAAATTGTATGACTATCGGGAGATGATCTAACGTTGTGATCCGCGTCCAAAAACCGCGTTTTCCATGCCATAATTCATCCAGATATGTTTAAATCCGGTTCGAAAAGTGCTAGTTTTTACTAGGTAGAACATTTTACTAGAAGTAGTTAAAAACGGACGCTGGCTGACGTCCGTATATATCATTTCCTGGTTTCAATAACCCGCTATATGCTCTTTCGATTTTCAAGGCCAATGTGCCGCTTTAGAATGCAGAACGCCATCAACCCAATCACAAGCAACATCCCGCAGACGGTCAGCCCATTCCCCGCACCTCCCGAATATGCCAAGGGCTACACTAATGAGCGCATTGAGCTGGTACGCTTTTCTTTCGAAAATATAGAATCTTCAAAATAGGGCTCCGCTGCGGCGCCCCCACCAGTCCAGTCAGAGTTCACGGTTTTTGGAGAACTGTATAAGCTCGACGATGATATCATCAGGTATGGAGGATCCGCCCGATACTTTCGTCTATCCTCTTTTTAGACCACTGTCCGCCCAGGACCCGCCCATCACCCAATTATATCCGAGCTCCAAAGTAGAATGGAAGATCGAGATGAAGAAATTGCTCAAGTGGGTTCCGTTTTCTTTCGAAAATCCTTGTTTTAGAAGTGCTGTCGCCGCCTTCTTGGATTTATTGGAAATTCTCATCCGGAACCCGAATCACAAGGATCGGCTTGACAAATTTGAGGACATAAAGGTAACTTGTTCACGTGACCTGTAATTCCCAGTTTAGACTATTTTCTTCAACATCCACCATCTCATCAACGAATTCCGCCCTTTGCAAGCGCGGTTGACACTACAGGCCATGCAACAATCGCAGATAAATGAATTGGAGGAGATGCTGGGACAATTTAAGTGCGTTTTATTTATCCCAGTTTTTTGGTTTTAGACATGTCTCGCAAATTCCTGGCTATATTTGATTTTAGAACGTTTCTGGATGGCGGCAAATCAGCATTGCGCGCTTCGCTGAATATGGACGGGATTGTCCGGAGTGCCATACCAGAGAAGCCGTCATGGCTTTTGAAACAGGAAGCCGAAGATGTTGTCCAGCACAACAATTTCACCACAGAGGAGTTTCTTCCAAAGGTACGCTTTCATAATATAAGAGCTGAAAAATGGGTCATCTATGGTTCTGGATCGTAGCGATAATGGATTATTCTATGTTTTAAAATAGAGCAGAAACCGTTAGAAACTTTTAATTTTTTTGGCTGCCTGGCGCAGGAAAAAATTCAGTTTTCCAACTCTGAAGGGTTTTACAATGGCGATCATATATGTACTAGCAAACACACAAAAATACGGGATCTTGAATACTCGGCATTTCTAACTTTAAAAAGATCATTAGATATTTAATTCCATTTCTTCAGGCGGACCCGAATCAGCCGGACGACGATGCTGATCGTGAACTTCCAACAGATGCCGGACTAGCAGAGCGATGGGACGTATTATTGACAATCAAAGACGATGACGAGCTCTTGACCCGTGAGCCAGACGAAGCCGAAGCCCCAGACAACACCGAGAGACGATCTCGACGGAATATCCCCAATAAAAGCAAGAAATAATTTCCGCTGTACAATTGGTAATCTTTATTAAGTCACACCCTTTATTCTTCGTGGATCTCACTTTGTATTTTGCTGCCGGATCGATAAGTGGTTCCGTTACCATCTGTTTTTCCGTTCCCTTCCCCCATTGCCCCCTCACGGGTATTTTGTTTGCCCAATGCCGGCATGTGGCCCGGGCTTTTATCGCGAACTGTTTTTCGCCCGCCTCGCTATTCCCAAACTGTTCCCTGCGTCTCTTCGTTTCTTTCCAATAAATAAACAGCTAATTTCGTTTTCGAGGTTCGCGTTGCAACACGTTACATTTATCCAGAGCCTTTATTTAATTGGGGACTGGTCGCTATTTCAAAAGGAAAACTAAGCTTCTACTTTAGTAGCTTTTGGATTCGAGAAGCCCACAGATTTGCGATTATTTTGGGGGGCTATTGGCGCCCCCACGTGAATGTATCAGGTGGGACACAAAAATGCGTTGAGAGGGCTCGCGGGCTATCGATCCCTGACTTTCCTCCTCTCCACCCATTCCCATCTCTTACCCGCGGATCTCAGCTGGCCGGTCGATCCCGCCATTTCCCTAATCGTCACTTATTATACCAGCAAAATCTGAGTTAATCTTCGTATATAGTTTTAGACTTCGTATATTCTATTTTTAAAAATATTCGGAAGTATAAAAACCAGATACTACTTTATTCTTTGTAAATTTCTGTTTTTTTTGCTATTCGGACAGCTATTTTTTGTGTCGATTAACCGCTTTTTTCAGCCTCCGAATATAGGTGACATTTTCGTGGAACGGGCCGGATAGTACGCTTAGAGGGTGAGAATTGAATAGATTCGTTTTAATACCATTTCAGAGTAGGAAATGGGTGATGCCGCGCTGCGCCGCTTGGCCAAAGAGCTGGAGCAGCTGTCACAGGAACCGCCGAATGGCGTCCAAATTGCCAAAGATGTCTCAGCGAATCTTAGGTATGAATTTCGAGAGTCCACTTAATAATCTTTGATATGAAAACGCTATTGTACAAACTATTTTTTAGAGAATGGACCGTGCAAGTCGACGGCGCTCCGAATACGTTATATGAGGGCGAACATTTCACGCTGCAATTTCGATTCTCCGACCAGTACCCGTTTTCGTCGCCTGAGGTAAGCCAGATCCGATGTCAGGCAATTTTTTTATTATTTAGGTGATATTTGTTGGCGAAAACATCCCAATCCACCCGCACGTCTACTCGAACGGCCATATTTGTCTATCTATCCTCACCGACGATTGGACACCGGCGCTATCGGTTTCTGCGGTTAGATTTAGCATTTACTTTTTTTATTTAATAGGATTAGCAAGGGTCATATTAACAGAAAGTCTATCTATATGGCTTACCACCGAACATTCAGCGATTTTAGGGTATCACCAGCGCGTAAAATTCCCACTTTTCGGCTGAATTATATATTTTTGCGCTATGGGTGGGAAAATCTGAATGAGAATTGCGTTTTTCAGGTGTGCCTCTCCATCCTTTCCATGCTATCCAGCTGCAAAGAGAAGAAGCGGCCCCCAGACAATGCCCTCTACGTCAGAACATGCGGAAAGAATCCGAATAAAACGCGCTGGTGGTTCCACGGTGAGTCGACTTTGTTTTGTTTTTCTTGTAGCTCCTTCAAACTTTTGTTCCTCTTCAAAAAACAAAAAGTATTTCGTCTCTCGACTCCAATGTGTCTCAACGCCTCCAAGTTTTACCATTCCAGATGATACGGTTTGATTTCTCCATTACGGGTTCTCCATCGCACGACGCTCCAATTGTATACAACACAGCCCTATATTCCAAAACAAAGACTCATTTCATGTAGCTCCCCGAATACGTGTATCTATTTCCCTCCTCGTTGCGATCTTCACCTCCCCCATCATGTATAGTCGCCTTCCGCACTGCTTTTCATTTGATTTTCTTCGCCTTTCACCAGCCAACCGATTCTCGAGAATCTCCTCATACCATTTGCGGTAATTCCCTTGGCCATCAACCGCAGATACACATTATCCATTGGCGCTTTTTCGTTTTGCCAAAGTCAACTCTTCCCGTCGTGATTTTCGTTCCCCGCACGTTTCGCATATACAACATATTTGCTCATAAAGCTTTATTACTATAGTAGATTCCGCTTCGAGCATATACTCAACACCGATTGTTAGCCCGTACACGTAAACAATATTTATCACGATCTCACGATAGTTAATTAACCTTACAATTGCAAACTGCTTCCACAAACTTAACAACACTAGAATCCATCATTCAAGTGAACAGCCCGTTATAAGTATTTGGCTTTTGCAATCTAGGAGGGAAAGGCAAGCTTTTGGCCTTAGTAAGCAGGCCAGTTATCGACGCTCTGGTCGAGGGTTGTTCGATTGTTGTAGCAGGGAGCACCGGTACCCGCTTGTTGTTCCTGAAACAATCATTCTTAGAAACAGAACATGCAATTACCAGAAAATGGGCTTTATCCTGTTCATCTAGATACTTCCGAGCATTGTGTACCGATAAACGGTAGAGGGCAAACACAAGCTAGAAAAAAAATTACGTGAATAATATGAAGATTAACACCTACAATTGTCAAAATAACCATCACTATGAATAGCAGCCACAGGAGTAGCGCTGTAGGATCGATAGAAGCCTCCTAAGATTAGAGTTATCGCAACCAGAAGCAACTACTACCTCAACGAGTGCGCTTGAGTGAGGCCGCAAGCGGAAATCCTCCAGGCATTGCTCTTGCTCTTCTTCTGCACTGAACATCGTCCGGCAATAATCCTCGTTCCTGAAAATTTAAATGAAGACACCTGCGTGTCTGACTTGATGATCAGTAGCGCCGTGTCGAGCCCCGGGCCAGCTTTATTCTCAAAGGAACATCTCTCGTCGTCACTGTTAGAAATGGATCTAAAGAAAATATGCCGATCGTCGAAGACACAAACTCGATGTAATTCGTGACGATCCCTTCGGTAACACCACGAGTGAATACAGCATCACCCGACACCGCCAAAATCGCCCTAAAACTTCAGCTAGAGATCCTGTCGAAGGTTTACCGGTGTTCATCAAACGTCTTCACTAGTTGTCCATCTTCGCCTTTAAAAAAGTGGCTCATCAAGTGACCCGGGGCGATTTGGAACATTTTCGTATGTCCATCGTCGTTTTCGGTGTAGTATACCGAAAAAAAATGGCGTAGGAACGTAAAAATTTCGGTTACCATATCGGAATACGGATCCTCGATGTAATTGCCGCGCTTCAGCTGCTTCTCATCGGCCTTTCTTCCAAATATGTTGCGCCAGTCTTCCTTATTGTCACTAAAAATAAATTAAAAAGACTTGATGGTTAATGGAAACTCTACAGATTATGTGTGGCATTGAACGCGTAGACGCCGACGAAATTCTTGTTGTTGAGCACGTAGAGGACCTGATTCGGGTGGTCCATGACGGTCTGTGTCTGAACGAGATTGCGAACGTAGATGAAAACTACCCAATTGAGCTGCAAATTCGAGAGCCATGTCCCGTCAGCTCTTTTTGGGTCCAAATTCTTCAACGGCCGCGGCGCATTAGAAATCCCCCTGTCCAGCTAGGAGTTTTCGTTAGGTAAGAAAAAGAGCGATTTTTACCCCCAGTTTTTGCTCCAATGGGTCGATGAGGAATTGTAGGTGTCCCTGCGAAAAACGGTGGCTGGTCTATAAAAAAATAGGTCGAAAAGCAGAAGTCTTACGCCGACAGCCAGAATCCTTGGTCTACCCAGCCGGCGAGGATCGCGCAGCAAATGATAACGTAGATTCCGCAGCTCACAGCCCGCTACGTCGTCTCTAAACGAAAAGAATTCATCGAACAAAGAAACTACCCCGTAGGCATCGAAAGGCTTCTTACGGATAAGCTCTCATCTACAGCGGTCTCAAATCGCATTATACAGGACTAAAAAAATCGAAAATATAAAGCAGAGAATGCGTTTCGCGTACTGATTCGCTGAGGGTGACGAGCATTGAATAATTGGTGCCCAAAATCGAGGTCAGATCGCAGCTTCTTGCATGTATTCCCACAGCGAACAGGGCCAACCAAAGTGGCAACAGGGTGGACATCGTGGATCTCTGAATAAAGATTGTTTTTAATATAGAAAAAGTTGAAAAGAAAAAGGTTGAAGAAGTCAATACAAGTAAAAAGTAAAAGTAAGAACTTTTTCAAAAGCTCGTTCGAGTGTCTCTGGCTGTAAGAATTCCATTCCACAATAAATAACGCCAGTTGACCATAGGTGTCTTCCGGAATTGCGAAATTTTATTGCAATTTTTCGGGTTTACCTAGCCAATAAACGAGATAAATATAAATCCAAAATTTGCAATATAAATTTTGTATAAATTGAAATGTAAATTTGATTGAATCCATAATGGAAATCTATTGCGTAAAAAACGTCATTATGTGTTTCGCGCGGCTCCATGAGTTCCGAAGATGATCTATGGTTGGACGAGGTCGGTTTGAAAGAGGTAAGTGCTCAGAACTAACTTTGTAAATTTTGAAATCAGGGCCGCTGTTTTGAGACGACCAGCCGCCAATACCACTTGGACAAGATACTCGGCGAGGGCGGTTTTGGAGTCGTCTTTCAGGTCTTTTTTAGCGTCATCCGTTTCTATACCTCCTGGCAGATTACCACGCAAAGCGGGCCGAAAGAAACGTTCGCGATGAAGGTCGAAAAGAAGATCGAGACCCGACTTCATTCCAAGCTCAAAATGGAGGTATTGACCGGTTGAAGTCAGCACGTCACTTACAGATTGCCATCCTGAAAATGGTATCTGGGGAGCGGCGCGGGCCAAATGAGAAGAACCATTTTACGGCCATCATCGACAAAGGCAAACGGGATCCCCACTACTACTTTATCATCATGCAACTCGTTGGGAAGAGCCTGGACGATCTGAAGCGACTTCGTGATCACAATGTGGGTTGAGCGAGCGATGGCGACGAGTGTTTCCTTGGATTTTCAGGTGTTCTCCGTCGGCACCGGGCTTGCCGTTGCCAGCCAATGTCTTGAGGCCGTCGAGGATTTGCACAAATATCACTTCATCCATAGGTATGACTAAAATAGGCGAAATTTAACCAATAAAGCCTTGCTTCCCTCTCAAAGGGAACTAATTTCTCTCCAGTGATCCTATAACCCAAATCAACAATTTTTATAACATTTTACACCGTTTTTAGATACAAAAAGCGCATAAAAATATAAAAATATTCGGAAAATGTGGGATTTCGATGAAAAAAACGTATAACACACGAAAAACGTCAGAATATGAAAAATATAACCAATTTCAGGGATCTAAAAGCTGAGAACTTTGCTTGCGGACTCCCTCCCCATGTGCGCACCATTTACATCCTCGACTTTGGCATTGCGAGGCGCTTCACGAACAGCAAGGTCAAATTAAACAAACTCCCAAACTATTCTTTCTGCTTCAGAACGAGCTGAAGACGCCGCGCAGCTACGTGCGTTTCAAGGGGACCGTGCGGTTCGCCTCGTTGGCGTGCCACAAGAATGCCGAGCTGTCGGTGAAGGACGACTTGGAGTCGTGGTTCTATTTGTTGCTCGATCTGCTGGTTATTGGTGGTGGGTGTAGAGCTGGTTATAGTAGATGAACAATGCCGTAGGCCTTCCTTGGCGGCGTCTGCGCGATCGCAACGATGTGATGCGGTCGAAGGAGTTGTCGCGACAGAACAAGGAGGCACTCTACGGGCAGTTGAAGTATAAAGATGAATACCACGAGCTTCTCCAATACATCGATCGCCTCCAGTATATTGACACCATTGACTACAAGATGGTCTACGACAAGTTGAAGAAGGTTAGCAATGGTTTGCAAGAGCAAAAATGAACCAATAGACGTAGAATTTCAATAAATCCGCCATTGGTGGTTAACGACGAGTTCAAGAGGGCCAAGGATAATTAAAAACACTTCTAAATGAAAATTTATATCGTTTTCTCAAAAGAAATTGTGAGAAAACAAAAAAAATGGCTTTACCACCCCAAAATTTCATTTTCAGATCGCCACCATGCACAGCGTCTCTTTCGACGACCCATACGATTTCGAGAGGTCCAACTACTGATCAACAACGGCTCACCAATCCCCAAAAAATATCCACCTTTAAAACTGAATGAAGAAAAGAATTCTTGCGATCGATTGTGCTCATGAACTATCGGCAATAAATCGTGCCCCTTACACTGCAATTTTCCCCCACACACAACACAGAGAAACAAAATGACGATTTATTAATAGTTCGCATATACACAAGAGGCGTTGATTATTGAAAATTGAGCCAAACAAAGTTCCTTGCAAGGATTGAGGGGTAGAGAGAGAATTCGAGAAAAAGACATTGGAACCGTAGATGAGCGGGGGGATGAGCAAAATAACGGGGCACGGCGGCAGTTCGCTAAACGAGGCACATAATCGAGGGCGCTCTAACTAACGATAAGGAATTGAATATTCAAAACTAGACGGTTGTCACGAGAAGTTTGTTACTGGAGGAGCGCATTCGGGCCTGTTGCTCGTCGGGCTGCTTCTCCTCGTCGCGCTCTCCAACCGGGGCACCCGTCGATTTCTTGTAGTTGTACGGTTGGACGGCCATCCGGGGACTAGTCGGCTGAAAGAGTGAGGGTTGTTTCTAGATTAAAAACACTTTTTACTTTAGAAAAATGTACGTATAATTCAAAACCTTGGGGCCTTTAGGGAGAAAGAAGCTTTTACTATTAAAAATAGACGTGTTTACCGAATCTAAGTTTTTTTTGTACAAAATATCGTAAAAACGAGTACAGACACTTTCTTTGAAACTAGTCAGAAAAAAATCACGATTTTAAAGCCAACGACGTACCTTTTGTACATTTGTCGGCTTTCTTGCGATCGGAGGTCGGAGGCGCGACGTTCGATTCTGGGTGTTGCTCGCTTTTTCTCGTGCTCGCTCCAGCAGCTCCTTCTCCTTTTCGAGCTCCTCGAGGACGTCACTCGGCAGATCGGCGTTCACCTGGTGCAGGAATGAATACAGAAAAAGATGATGTATGCACCTCGGTGATGGGCTCTGCCTCGGAAGAGGATTCGCTGTAGTCGGTGGGCTCGTCCTCCGAATCGGGATGTTCAAAGGACTCGTCAAGGCGTGCTGCGTCTCGCACCAGTTCACCCATATGGTTGCACATTAGTGATCTAAAGGGAACGTCGTACGTAGCAACTAGGCTCGTAATGGATTTATTAAGATAAAAAATATACGAAGTTTTCGGAATTGGCTATTGGTCAAAAATGTATCAAAAAAAACGACCAGAAAATGTCAAAAAATTTCGATTTGTAAAATTTTTAAAATTTTGGGAGAACTTTCTAGTAATCAAAAAACTACTAAAAAGTTTATAAAAAGTACTATTTATTTTTAACAGATAGGTATAGACGCAAAATAAAAAATGGTCCCCTGCTAACAGTCCGGTACCCTTTAAAGCATACACTCACTTATTGATAAGGCTGACGGGGGCTGCCTGTTGATGGGCGGACGGTCGGTGGCTGGCTGCCAATTGTTGGTGACCGTCCGCCACCGCGTTTTTTGGCGTCGTCGTCAGATGGTGTTGTTGGGTCGAGAAGGGGGACGAGGACGGCATCTGAGATCGGATGGCCGCATCCAAAAGACCGGGTCCTGACGGGAAGCGCGGTGGCGGCATGGCAGACTCGATGGCTTCGCTGAGGAGGAGGGCCCTAGAGAGGTAGTAATTAATCGAAAAAACTATGTATATTCTAACCCTTTCCGATCGACATCCGGCTTTTTTGGTGGTAGGGCTGCCGCGATTGATTTGTCCAACAAGGTATGGTCGATCGGAAGTGACGCGTAGTCGTTTTCGTCGATTGGTCCGGGGAGAACGTCGTCTAAAATTGATTACTACTAAAGCTAAAACCACTTGATTTTTATAGAAATAAGTGATACCAGCCGCTTACAGCGGCTTTGCCGCTGCAAGCGGCTGGACTTCGGGCTACCCCTTCCGCTCCCTCCCCCTCCCTTTGTGATGGCCTTAGATACTTTAAAGGCTTTAAATAATGAATTAAAATAATTAAAAAGTATTAAAACAACTGAAAAAAGCGATCTGGGCGCGGGAAAGGGCTTGGGGACGGGGGCGCGGAAAGGGGACGTGGCCTCCCGGGGAGAGGGCCCCCACTCATTTTATTAAGGCGCCACTTTCAAAGTCAATTATTTTTATTTAAACAAAAACTTTTTCATCATTTTTTGATCATTTAAGGGGTTTCTAACTACGCTCTATCCAAATCCGAAGAGACCTATGCTCTACATCCTTTCCCCTTCGAGTTATAGTTGGCTTCTGACGGACAGACAGACAGACACCACTACTGAATTCTTATAGTTGATTAGACGTTCTCATTTGGAAAATTTCAAAAACTCTAGCGTACCATCACTGTGGCTCTCACGTCGGCTCGGCCTCAACGGATATGTGGGTGTGGGTTCATCACTCGGAATTGACGTTGCGTCGCTGCTAGCCGTAGTTTGTCTAAAAACGGAAACCTTGATCAAAATTTTAAAAATTTACGGTCAACTTAATTTGTCCACGCTATTGAGCCACTCACCTCGAATGCAAATTCGGGCGTCGCGGGGTGGTGGTGCTGATCTGGAGGGCGGCCATCGGCTGCGGATTCAGCCGTGGGCCATTCGCAGCATGATCGAGTGACATGAAGCCAACCTAGAAAAATCATAACTTAAAAAATAGAGACAAATCAAACCTGCTGCATCATGAAATTAGGGTTGGAGTAAGCGGTCGGGGAATCCGGTAGATCGGATGGGGATACTGGGGATAGACGGGCACTATTGTCGGCCGTGTCGACGACGCTTTCCCAGCCGGACGTATTCTGGAATAGGATATAGATTATAAGATCATAAAATAAATAAAAACAATAATGAGCAGAAACTGTACTAGAAAAACAAAACCCACCACTTCTGGCATCAATGAACCAAGGGATTGTGTCGACGTCGAGGGGGAGACGCGCAGACTTTCCGTTGGTTCGATTTCGTGTAACTCTCCATCCAGCTGGCTGCCGTCGTCGCCTACGACTCCGCTTTCCCTGAAAATGATGATTGTGAATGTGGACTACATTATACGACCGTCTATGACAAGATTCGAAGAAATATTCACTTACTGGCTCGTCTCGTTCGACTGTAAATAGGAGCGTTGGGAAATGTGATCGGGTGACTTTTGGAATTGACTAAAAATGCAATAATAATAATACCAGAATAGTAAAAAACGTACCTATTAACCATAGCAGGATTTCCATTAAGCGGAGTAATTCTATTTGAGAAATGCCTCGGCAATGAGCTAGAGCGATTGTAGATGGACATTGTTTGTTGGGGAAGGGCAGGAGCGCCTGAAAATCGTATTTCTGCTATAACATTTGAAGAAAATACTATCTCATTCAGATATAAGCGATAACATACATCTAAAGACTCTAAAAACGAACCTGGAGATGCCCGAGAGGCACGCAGAGTCAACAAACGATTATCCATATAACGAGGAGAAGCCGAATGAAGCATATCACCGCCCATTGATGCCGACATCACTAAAAAGCAGGAATGATAATTTTTATAAATGTTATCACTTGAATTGTATTGCTGGGACGTATACATGGCCGCATTGTTGAGATGGTTGAGCACTCGCTAAAAATTGAATGTAATTTTTTACATAATTTCTTATAATTTTAACCTTAGACCATGGTTTTTCCGAAATACAAATCTTGTCCTACTATATATAAAAAAATAGTGTTTGTGTGTGTGTGTGTGCATTTGCATGCAACTTCCGTCAGGGTGTCCAGAGGATATCTCGAGAGAGGATGGGTTTAAATAGGTGTTTGATACGTCATTAGATGCGTAATGGCCTGGAGATGACTGCACACATATCAGATTTTGTAAAATATGGTGTTTTCGACATTAAAATTAAGTTTTTCTTAAAAATTCCGACACCCACTTTGTTAGGATAAAATTAGCATACGCCGGAAGTCGCTGTGGCTTATATGAAGGCTCAAAGGGAGCGTTTTTCATTTTTTGTCATCGGAATTGGGGCACGATTATGCAAAACGAAGAACATCATAGGGTTAGACGGGGCCAGGGTTGAAAAGTCGCGAAGCGGCTTTTCAACCCTGGTTGAAGGTTAATTTCAAACGCTGATAAATGGCCAACCTTGACCAACGCTCGAATATCGTCACGTTGTGAATTGCGTAGCGTATTCAGCTGCGAGTACGCTTGTTCACGCAGATAATTCTGAATTACTTCAATTGCCGAATATAGTCGGAACAAACCTGTAAATTCGGGTCGTGTACGATCAGGTTGTCAATGGCCGACACCGTGTTCGAGATGATCGTAAATGAGGAAGAGTTGAGCATCGGTAACAATGGGGGTAATAGGCTCGCCCTAGAAAAAAATATCCTACTATATATAAAAAAATAGTGTTTGTGTGTGTGTGTGTGTGTGTGTGTGTGTGTGCATTTGCATGCAACTTCCGTCACCGTGTTCCAGTAGTATCTCAAGAAGGGAGCAAGTTGGGGGGATGTTTGACACGTCATTAGGTGTGCAAGGCTCCCGAGATGACTGCACACATATTACATTTTACAAAATATGCTGTTTTCGACATTAAAATTAAGTTTTTCATGAAAAATCGGACACCCCTCTTTGTTAGGACCAAATTAGCATGCACCGGAGGTCGCGGTAGGCTAAATAAAGGGACGGAGAGAGCAATTTTCCTTTTTCGCCATCCGTATCCGCGAAAATTATGCAAAGCCAAGAATATCATTGGAGAAGACGGGGCCAGGTTTGAAAAGTCGCGAAGCGGCTTTTCAACCCTGGTTAATTATTTAAACGAATAGTATCAATAGATTTTGAAAAAGCGAGGACCCTTGAACTTACCGAATTTGTGCGTGACACGGCGCGCTGGACACGTACTGTGTCGCGTATTTCAAAACTCCGGTCGCACTCTCAACAATCAACTAAACAAATTTGCATGAATTTTCGTTAATTTTAGTACCGTGGCCTTGGCGTTGGGCGTCAGCAGTTCTACGAGGTAGGTGAGGCAGAATTCCGTTTTGCAGATTGCCTTCTTGTTGTCCGTCTGGAAATGGGAAGGTCAGGAAATACACATAAGACTTGTAGCCTACCGAATGTGAGGCGAGATTCCAGAGGGCAGAAAGCGTAGCCGAAACGGCGGCCATTTCACGATCCCGCGCTTCCTTGTTTGACATATTTTGAACGATGGCTTTTTTCTGTAAAGTTATTGATGGTATTAAAAACGATTTCAAAAAGACTTTTTGGTTAAAAACGTATGAAAAAGGAACAAAGTCAACATTTTCGAATTTCCTCAATTTTCAAAACATTTTTAACGTTTTTGGCGGGTAAAAACCACTAAAAAGACCATAAAAAACACATTTTATATTATCAACAGATAGGTATAAAAAATTAGTTTCCCCTGCTAAAGCCCCCACGGTAACAGTCAGTACCCCATGGCTTACATAGGCATCGACAAAGGCCTCCGCAACGGCCGGGCAGGTTGGAGAGAGTAGTTCAAACATTTTACTGTCGGCCATCCAGGAAACGTTCCGGATTAAACCGGCGTAAACCTGAAACAGTAGCGTGCGTTTAATGCGCGCTTTCGGAATACGTACCTGCGTCAACATAGGCAGCTTGATCAAAATGACGAGCGTGGCTATTAAATCATCATGCTCGCATAATCGGCGTTTGCTCGGGGCATTTCCGTAAGTCAGATTCGTCAGCGAATTGGCTATCAATTTTCGTAGTGTGCGATGCTCGGCAGCCATCGTCTGAAGGTTATTTATGCGATTAAGCGAGCACGACCTACCTGAGATTGGTCTGTCCCATACACTTTCACTTCAAGCACTAACAATTCGGCAATCACGTCAACGAGACCTAAAAATAAATTGCTATCCACGACATTGTAAAATACCCAATGCGGTGGCTGCTTCACGAAAGTGCTCGTCAAATGATTCTTTGACGACAGCGTCAAGACTCTGCACGAGGCGAGGGATATCGACGTCCGGCATGTCTTGTCGTGTTCGCATCAGCAAAAACACCTTAAAAATGGCTATTATTCCCTATATGACTATCACTACCTGCTCGCGAATATAATTAATGGCCGGTGAAGCTCGCCTGAGTCTTCGTCTCCTGCAAAAAAAAAAATGTTTTTTTTCCAGCCATAACGAACCTATTCCCGTCTGGCTCCTGGCCAATAATCGTTGAAATCTGTTCGTGGAGATCGCGTACCGAATCACCATAGTCTTTGTCCGGAAGTTTCCTAAATTACTTGGTGAAGATAATGATTTACTACGTACCGTAATTTGTATAATAGAAGCGGCCGAAGCAGCTTGTCAAGGGCCTGATTGACGGTCTCGCCGTTCTAAAGAAAACTAAAATTTAATTCTGAGTGGCCTACCTCCAAATAGCCCTGACTCGTTGACGGGTTTGACGCCCGGCCCGAGTCGCTCATCTGAAATGGAAATTTTTAGAAAAGTTTGAATACTTAGGGAGTGTAACGAAAGTGAGAACTTATGAAGGGATTAAAGACCAGTGGGAAATGGTCAAGGGGGAAATGAACGGGTCCAATGGGCAATGAGGACAGCAATTGTGCTGTAATGCGACAAACGGGAAGGGTGGACACAGCGCAAGGAACGCTCAGTGTACAACATAGCAGGCCATTATGATCTTGTTTCCGCGTGACAATTTGATAGATTTCGAGGGTAAAATGTGGAGCGCAATAGAAAGCTAAAAGCCTAGAATATCCAAATGCATATTATTCGGATTTGTGACCTTTAAAGCCAGAGCTAAAAACTAAAAAAGCTACGCCAAGTTAAGAAAAGAGAAGAAGCATTACGGCAGCTCGAAAAAACAATAGATTTCTCAATATGGGGAGAGTACTGGTAAATAGAATTGAGTTGGCTCGGCCGAGATGAGGGCGGCGAGCAGCAGCCTAATTGAAAGCGGGCTAGCCGGAAAGCCACGGCTACTAAATCGGGGGAATTCCTAGCAAATCTAGCAATCCTAGCAAGAAAAATCCAAAAAATCAAGTCGATTGATCGAAATGAGTCGCCCGAAAGTCAATATGGGCCAGACCATGCCACTGCATCGAGTCATCGTATCGGGTTTCCGCTTTCGGAATGAGCCGCAACAGTACGCAAAGTCGATTGCGTCAGACTATATCGCGGTAGGCTGTGCAAATATGGCTACAAAGGAAGGGAATTTGGCATTCGGGTTTGAAAAACCCGCTATATACGCTAAAGCGTACGGCTATTTTCGGAATTTTTCTCAACAAAACACGACAGAAACCTGGAAACGAATTATGTAAGTAAAGTCATGTCATTGCTGAATTATTTTTGTCCTATAATTGAAAACGAAAATGAAAAAACAGAGAAGTATGGCGTTTCGGTCCCGAAAGGTGGTTCAGCGTTATCAACTAATGTCTGCATATTTGCGCGCATTAATGATAAGCTTTCGAGCACTTCCCGGCCTGAATAATCCAGAAAAAATCTATTTACGCTTAAAAAACAATTCAGTTCCCGGCGGCACCCCACCAACCCAAACTCCTCACAACACAAAAAATTGACTGGGCAGCTAGAGGAAGGAAATATGGGCCCCACGGGGGCGGAGGGGATGTGTCTCATGGGAAGCAAGAGAATGGGAGCCAATTTGTCGGTGGCGCGGGAGTATTTTGGCTTGTATGGGTTGCGTTTGAGGGGGAAGAAGGCGGTGGTAGAAAAGGGGCTCTGGGGACATTGGCTGCTGCTGTGGGGGGATGGCTTGGGGTCGGCGGTGCCCTCAGAGAAAGAAAGACAGCCCCTCCACCCTCCTGTCGACCCCATAAAGGGAAGAAAAGGGGGAGACGGAGGACGAGGAGGAAGAGCAGCATACGAGCCGAAAGGAGGGACGGGTCAAGATAGGAAAAAAGAGGCAGAGGACCCAGAGACAAGGCGCATACACACCCTCACACGCACCAACCGAGACATTAGGCCCTGGGGGCATCCACCCCTTCATCTCCCGGCTAAGCCCAGCCACACACTCAATCGCTCATCGCAAAAACAACCCCGGCTACAATCGAGCCCCGCTAACCCAGTTGGACTCTAGGGGTTAGTCCGGAATTCTTGTCGTTATAAGATTAAGAGATAGGTTAGAAACAACCACTTTAGGTGATAGGTTTTGCGCTCTTTCACTGCTCAGTGGATCAACAGAACCTGAAATTCTAAACAAGTCTCATCTTGAAAAAAACCCTGAAAAAAAACACTCTTTGAGCAGTTCACATTTTTAAAACAGGCCCAAAATCAGAAAAATCAACCTCTTTCAAAGATAATTTTCGCCCAGAAACTTGTGATTCAGCGGTTTGTAAACCATCGAAATTGTTTAGTGTTTCAAGCTCTATCGAATGGGATGTCACATTGCAAAAATGCATCACCTAAAAAGACTAGCCTTTAAGGAAAAAAAATGCTTTATTAACAAGCCAACCATATCTGGATCTGGACCCGAATATGCACTCTAGAAAAACCTAGCTCTAAATCTAAATAAAAAATAAAATTACTAAGACAACACTCTCAACAGGACGTGCCGCCAAAAGCACCACGGCCAGGAGCGTAGCACCGCCAGACAGACTCTCTCCCAAAGGTTATCTGCCAGCTTGCCTAATCGAAATGGCGATCGAGCCCTGTGGGCATGTTCTCCCCATCGCCTTGCCGGGGCCATTATCTACGTTCAAATGTCCCCCTTCGTGACCGAATGCGCTATCAATCGAATTTGCATTCCCATACAGGCACGCGCTTGGGCAAACCTAATACCGTTTGAAAAGGGAGAAGCATCAAGCTTTCTGATACAACCTACGGTATGGGCAAGCATTAGTTTTAAAAGGCCATCCGCGAGCCACTCGAACAGGCCCTAATAAGGCTTGGCACAGTTTTTTCGACCCTATTTTTTTGACGCCATCTGAAAGATCATGGTCGAATTAGTGGAGTGGCACTATTTTGAGAATTTTAAAAGTTTAATTTCGGGGTTAAATCGGCCGTTAAAGTTGCCGATGTCAAAAAATTATCTCGAAAGTGACTTGAGGGAATTTGTTAAAAATTGGTGTGTATGCCTAATTTCAGACGCTGATCATTTCTCTAATACATCGCGAAACACAAAAATGGGCGGAACATGGTTAAATCACGTACGCGAGATGGTTTTCCCGGAATCCATAAAAAACGGCCTTTTCTGCGCTCCATGAAAGTAGCGTAGAAAGATGCGCCATATTTTTTTACGTCGATACATGTGTCGTTTACCCGGAAACCAGCTCCCCTCCTCTTGCTACAACGCGTTTTATACGCCAAAAACGCGCCAAAAATGGCCCCCAAAAATACAAAATCACCGATTTGGAAAAATAAAGACAACAGGACGCATCTAGAAGACGAACTGAAGCGATTGCAAAAAAGAGCGAAAAGAAATTCGGCTTCTGAGAGGGGGCTGGGATTGAACCCGCGCCGGCTCCGGATTGGCACGCCGACGCTCTACTCATTGCGCCGCGGGGCTCCCAGGCGGAGGGTCCGGGTTCGATTCCGCGACATTGAGATAAGACTAATCTCTTTTTGCTCTTTTTTGCAATCGCTTCAGTTCGTCTTCTAGATGCGTTCTGTTGTCTTTATTTCTCCAAATCGGAGATTTTGTATTTTTGGGGGCCATTTTTGGCGCGTTTTTGGCGTATAAAACGCGTTGTAGCAAGAGGAGGGGAGCTGGTTTCCGGGTAAACGACACATGTATCGACGTAAAAAAATATGGCGCATCTTTCTACGCTACTTTCATGGAGCGCAGAAAAGGCCGTTTTTTATGGATTCCGGGAAAACCATCTCGAGTACGTGATTTAACCATGTTCCGCCCATTTTTGTGTTTCGCGATGTATTAGAGAAATGATCAGCGTCTGAAATTAGGCATACACACCAATTTTTAACAAATTCCCTCAAGTCACTTTCGAGATAATTTTTTGACATCGGCAACTTTAACGGCCGATTTAACCCCGAAATTAAACTTTTAAAATTCTCAAAATAGTGCCACTCCACTAATTCGACCATGATCTTTCAGATGGCGTCAAAAAAATAGGGTCGAAAAAAACTGTGCCAAGCCTTGTTCGGGTGGCTCGCAAACGGCCTTTTAAACATAAAAACCACGAACCTTGTTAAACCAAGGTCACCTGCAGGCAGTCGTTGAGAAGTGTGCGCATAGACTGAAAACGACTACAATTTCCCCCTCACCACCCCCCAATAGCCATTCCAACAACAATTCGGCGTCTAACCGGAAATTAGGAAACCCAGACAGACGCCATGGTCAGGATATCCATTTATTATTATAGCGGCATGTGATCCGAAATAGAGGTGAAATGTAGATTGAATCGGCGAAGAACAAGAAGAAGTGACAGCGGAAAGGCACAGTATACACAAAGAAGATGGGATATCACAACAAATAGTACCCAATACAAGGAAATACCAACGGGGAAACCAATACCCATATAATACATATAAACCGGCCAAATAAATAGTAGAAGACCAGCGAAAAAAATATATTTTCAGAATATTTAGGGTTCTTGTTTGGAGTCCGTAGTATTGTCTTTAGGCTCGACGATGTTGATAGTGGCTAAAAAAAAAAAGAGTAAAAAATCTGGAAGGAAAACTTGTATACCAGTAACGTTGGACTGAGCTTCTCTCGGTTCTCGGCGCTCTTCTTTTGGAATTTGGGGAGACTTGACAGATTTTTCCTCCAGCTTCTCAACCGGCTTTTCCACGGGCTTTTCCAGCGGTTTTTCAGGCTCTTGGGGAGCTTTTGTTGGTTCCTAAACGTGCGATAATTTTTATCCAAAATTTGGTATCAGATAGGGTTGTTATACGAGTTGATTCGGCAGCGAGTTGATTCGAATAAGCCCCGATTCGCATCCGGCGAATGGAAATTTCAACGATTCAATTCGCCAGCGAGTTGATTCGAATCGCGATTTGATTCGCGGCTAATTTGATTCGTTGCTAATGAATCCGCAGCCAAACGAATCAATTCGCTGACGAGTCGATTCGTCAGACGAGTTGATTCGTTGGCGAATCGATTCGTTGCCCACGAATCAGGATCGAAACGAATCGATTCGTCAACGAGTTGATTCGTTTGCCATTCTGACTCGTCGGAAGTTGTTATATGTTAATGAAAAACGCTATGTAAATCAAAAAACAGCCTTTTTGGGTGTCTTTCGGGGTGCTGTTTGGGGTGCTTTTCGGCAACGTCAATTTATGTACTAGGCCATCTACTTGGGTTGTTGTTCTACTCCTTCGAGGTTGTTGAAGGCGGCGGACAATTTAGAGACGTTTTTTTCTAACCGCCCTAGCAGCTTAGCGAAGCTTAATCAAATTGCTTCAAGGCGTTTAGATTGTTGCATTTTGAACGCTCGTTCTAACGGTATACTTGCCTTTATTCAAAACTGTCGGGGAACAGAGAAGGGGGCGTTTTAATGCCGAAAGGCGTACCTGACGAAGTTGTCGCTGCACTAAAACCATCATATCTCCATCTGCACGGCGTATTCTGGATTACGGAGGACACCATTCGAAAGAAGAAGAAAAATTCTACCTGTCCAAAGGGTTTCAGTTTTTGAACCGCTTTGCCCAGCCTGCTAGGGCGGTTAGAAAAAAACGTCTCGAAATTGTCCGCCGCCTTCAACAACCTCGAAGGAATGCTACCAAACGACCCCCAAATGAGTTCCGAGCGGTTTGGCGTCGATTTGTGCGAACTGCTCGAAAACGAGGTTCATCTTCTGATTTGGCCAAGTTCAGCCAAGCCAGCCAAGTAGATGGCCTAGTACATAAATTGACGTTGCCGAAAAGCACCCCAAACAGCACCCCGGGTACAATTCGGATAAGCGGGGGGGAAAATTTTAGGCGGGGGGAAACCGAAATTTTTTCCGCGCAAGCCTATATTTTTATAGAAATAGTGGAAGTGTTTCTAAATTGTTTATAGCTATTCCTAAACATAAAAACTTTACAAAACTTAATTAAAAAATTTAATTTTAGGTCGAAAAATCGATTTTTTTTTCGGCCCAAAAATGACCAAATTTTCGACTTTTTCAAGCGTTTTTCTAACTTTTTAAAAAGTTTTTCCGATTCAAATAGGCTTAAATTTTGCTAAAAACAATGTTAAAAAACTTTATATTTGATTACTATCCCCACCAGGGCCGACAAAAAAAAGTTGGTTTCCCTCCCGCCTAAAATTTCCCCCCCCCCCGCTTATCCGAATTGTACCGCACCCCGAAAGACACCCAAAAAGGCTGTTCTTTGATTTACATAGCGTTTTTCATTAACATATAACAACTTCCGACGAGTCAGAATGGCAAACGAATCAACTCGTTGACGAATCGATTCGTTTCGATCCTGATTCGTGGGCAACGAATCGATTCGCCAACGAATCAACTCGTCTGACGAATCGACTCGTCAGCGAATTGATTCGTTTGGCTGCGGATTCATTAGCAACGAATCAAATTAGCCGCGAATCAAATCGCGATTCGAATCAACTCGCTGGCAAATTGAATCGTTGAAATTTCCATTCGCCGGACGCGAATCGGGGCTTATTCGAATCAACTCGCTGCCGAATCAACTCATTTGAATTTTTGACGAATCAATTCGTCAACGAATCAACTTGTATAACAACCCTAGTATCAGACTGTTTGCGGGCGTGGGGGGGGGGGGCGGTAATTTTTCTAAGCAATCCCGTATAACAAAACATAAGCCATTTTTAAAGTACAGTTTTTAGATAGAAGAATCCCATAAAAATTATACAAATTTTCGATGTTTTGGCAAAAAAATGTATGAAAAATGAACAAAAAATTTCAAAATGGCAACCTTTTTACACCTTTCTAGCATTCAAATATGACTAACAACACTATAAAAATACATTATATGATCCATAGAGGGGAACAACCCCCCCCCCCCCCCCCTGCTAAAAGTCCAATACCAAACATTTTACAAAACAGTACCTTTTTCAAATCATGCTTGTGCTCCACCGGTTTAACTTTCTCCGTGTCCGACTCATTTTTCGGTTCATCCCCCGCAGCTTCCTTTTCCTTGTGATCGTGGTGTAATTCGACGTGCCTAAAAACCAGACGCATGTTTCAAAAAACAGAAGCGAGGCCACCTGTTCAATTCTTCAACTATTTCCCCTTGTTTCTTGATCAACTCTTGCTGCTCCTTCTGTTGGACCTTCATTTCGAGCAGCAGCTTTTCGGCCTCTTTTTCGTTGCCAGATTTTGCTAGGTCTGCCACCTTCTCCAGTTTCTAGAAAGGTGAAAAGTCGTCAAAGTAAAATAGACGTGGCAAACCTGTGAAATGTTGATATTCGCATCCATAACCTTCTCTTCCAGTTTCTCCAAGCTTCGCAACGCCTTCTCGTCGGCGGCGGCTTTTGGGAGTGGTCGTTCAACGACGTCGGATTTTTGTTCGGTCTTGAAGCGGTGGATTAACTAAAAAATCGAAAATCCGATAATACCTGAAGGGTAGCGATGGTGGAGAGACAGAGAATTGTTATGCCGATGAAGATGCACATCTAAAGACACAAATTCGGTGAAGAAATGTGATACAAACCCTTGCATAAAAGATCATCGGTGTCGACTTATCTTTCATCACGCCGATAAACATCAGGGAGGGGAGGATGATGGAGGTGAACGAGCCGATGACGGAGCCGGTAAGGGACAGGATGAATTCGACTAAAAATATTTATTAAAACGAGCAGTTTTATAGATCATAAATTTTTTTTTCTTTTTTAAAGCCGTATTTACAAACCATTTGGAACGTAGATGGCCACGATGAGGTTGGCGAGCAACAGCACGAAGGTCAGGACGTGGAAGGTAGAGTTGTGGAGCGGGGCTGGCCCTGCGTGATCGGAAGAGCCCTGAAAAATTCAATTAGCATAAGTTAATTAGGCTAACATCTCAATCAGTGACTCCGGAAGTGCCCAGCAATTAAATCCAACTCCTGGTATAAAAAAGCGCTGCGAAAACGCCTTGCTATTGGATTCGTCAACCCGACCCAACCGCAAGAAGAAGATGGCAGCGCAGAAGGGCAAGGAGATCGAGATCGAGCTGCAGCTGGAGGAGGGCGAGCCGCTCGGCGCCGTCCCGAACGACAAGCTCGTCATCACCCGCGTGCAGGCCTCGACGGTCGCCGAAGGACGCCTCCAGGTATAATCGGAATCCAGTCGGTTATGCAAATCAACTTCTAGATCGGCGACCAAATCCTGAAGATCAACGGCTTCCCGGTCGTCGACGCCAACGACTTCTACCGCCGCCTCCGCTTCGCCCACCCGGTCGCCCGGCTGCTCATCTGCCGCGGCGGCGAGAAGGCCCAAGAGCTCGTCCAGCGCGTCAACATCCCCGCCGACCGCGAGAAGCTCATCCTGCGCCGCGACGGCTTCTCGTACATGCTGGCAAAGCTGACGTGGGTGCCCGGCGGCCCGAAGCTCGGCCTCGGAATCAAGCACTACCAAAATCGTGTGCTCGTCAGCCGCGCCGATCCCGGAACCCTCGCCGCGCAGTCGCTCGTGGTACGTTTAATTTACTTAATCGTCCTAAATCGTAAATTTCCTATTTTCCAGGTCGGCGACCACTTGATCGACATCGACGGCACGCCCGTCACGGACAAGGACGTCGCCAGGGACCTGCTGCTGAAGGCCCTGCAAGCGAAGGGAGAGGTGTGCCCTGCTTGATGCCGCTGATCAACTCGTCCTTTAGGTGACCTCGGTGGTGGAGCGTCCCGAGTCGGGCGAAGCGAAGCACTGGGTGCAGCAGGCTCTCACCGCCCAGACGGCCGCCCCGCCCTCGGTCCAGATGAGCTCCGACGTGCGCGCCATCGCCGCCAAGCAGCGCGGACTGCTCGCTGGCAAGGCCGCCCTGGTCGGTGTTTGGTCATCTTCACTGCTGCTCTGGTCGTCCACTTTTACACCGGCGATCTTTTTTCGAAAAACGATTTTCGAGTTAGAAGTTTCGACTTCTTCGACAAGTTCGAGGAGTTTTCAAAACCAAAAAAATCGGAAATCGCTCCGGTTATCTACTTCTACTTCATGCTCCTTTTTCAGCAACCCAAGTCGATCCTGTCGAAGCCGGGCCAGGGCCAGGGCAAGAAGGTGGCCCTCAGCGACGCCAAACACTCTGAGCACATGATCGCCTCTGACAATGAGGGACGCAACCTGCGCTCCGTCCGCAAATGATCGGACCCCCCACCCACCCAACCACATCATAGCAATGTGTAACATCACTTATTCCCCTCCCCTTACTTTTCGGGCTTTCAAACAATATGTGATTTCAAATGGAGTTGTACCCGAGTAAATGATGCACATAACCTGGTCCCTTACACTATACAACAACGCCAAGCAGTACAGACATACCTGTGGTGAGAGGAGGTTGAATAGCGCGACTCGTGCTGGGAAGAGCATCAACGGGATCGAGACGGCGATTGAGAGGAGAAAGGCCAGCTTGAGCATTTGCGTGAAGAATGTTGGTTGGAGGTTGACCTGAAGAGAGCGTTGAAATTAAACTTTGAACTACCAAAACGTCGCCGTGCATCTCGAGGTTATAGAAAGTTACGTAGCCAAACAGGCCGACGGCTGCGTACATTCCAGAGCAAAGGTTTATAGCTGAGGCGACGACCTGAAGAAGTGATGCTCAAAAAAGCCGAATGAAAATTACCGCGTCAACATGTTCGTCCGTCGCATCTTTCATACTGTCGGTAATCGAGAAAAGTTGCGTCTGACAGGCGAGCGCCATCGCGACAATTGGGAGGCTGGAAATAATGTACGTCTTCTTTGACGACCTAAACTTACCATGGAAAGAACCCCTCGAAACGCCACCAATGCACGTGAATACTCCAGGTGCCTTCCCATAAAACTGGTAGACTGCCGATGAAAAGCCGAACCTAAAAATGTATGAGAATCTCCACCAACACTATACCACAAAAACGGCATAGAAAAATACTGCCGCCGAGGACACGACGCTGAACACCTCCAAATTCTGGATCGTCGACAGCGGGAAGATGACGAAGAGCAATACGATAATCTTGAATAAACATTACAAAAGTGGATTCAGCTACAAACCATGACCAAAATTCGAAGCCTTTGAGTCGGAGCTTCGAGCTCCAGGTAGTCGGCAACGACGTTTGGCCCAATATCTCCTAAATCATGGATTTTTCGAAAACATAAATGATTACGTTTACCTATCACAACCATAAACGCAACGATGCACGAGACGAGGAAAGCGAGCATCATTATCTAAAAAAGCGGTTTGCGAGAAACTCTACAAAACCAACCCCGACTATTCGACGACCAAGTGAACCCATGCTAACCAATGCCAAAGATTCATAGTTGTGCCTTCTGAAAAAGTAAAAAAATTAAATCTAATTTACCTCGCTACATATGCGGCATGCGCAAGAAAATGGCAGGTCAATTTCATCAACACCGAGCAGCCACCGATCATCAACACAGCCAAGAGGATTCCGCACTAAAAAAACATTTTAGGACGGAAAAACAACGACAAACCTGTTGAAAAACATAGGGCATTGCCAGCACGCTGACGCCAATTATCGAATTGGTGAGGTTGAAGACATGTGGCCAAGGGTTGAACGAATGGCTTGTTTTCTACAATCGAAAGAAAGTTTCTTTTGAAAGCATAGAATAATCCCAAAATTTAAAAATTTTCTTACTTTACGATTGCTCTCCGCATCGTACTCGTCGGCTCCATCACGTTGTATTAACAATTCTGTATCATCAACGCGCTTCTTCATAAACCTGCAAAGCATAAATTCCTAGAGTTCTCCGCTTCAACAAGCGAATAAAAGTAAAAGAACAAGATACAGTTTAGATTTCAACTTGTGCTCAAGCGAGATCCATTTTCTTATCCACAATTTATTCAATTCCCGTAATAAGTGAAAATATTTTTCGGCGTTTCTTCGACGACCACCCGATACAGTTTTGCCGGCTGCATCATATACTTTTGGAGGGTTTCGTACAGGAAGATTGTCAAATTCTCGGTCGTGCTCACCTAAATAAGGTTTAAAAAATGCAGCAAAAACGTACCCGTTGCCGGAAGTACGCCACATCCTTGTCCAAATTTTTATGATCAACTAGGTCGAGTACCTACAATCAACTGACATCAACAGAAGGTGGGCTAAAGCCATTTTTGCACTGTACGACAGTCGGGGGATACCTTTGCCATTTCTTGTTTGAGTAGCGCCAAGTCGTAGACCATGCCCGTTTTTTCGTTGACTTCGCCTTTTAGGGTTACCTAGAATGGGGGCCGGTTCAGCGTGTGTTTTTCTAGGACCCTACCCTCCATACATAGTTGTGTCCATGGCCGTTCGGATTATTGCACTTACCGTACGTCTGAATTATTTATGATTGTTTTTATTGGTTGGTCTTTATTTTCTTAAAGTATTGGTTCTTTTGCATTATCGGGGGGAGAGGGGTTTATCGGGGGAAACCAACTTTTTTCTCTTAGGATCTAATTTTTCAGATAAAGATAGTGGAAGTGTTTCAAAATTATTTCTAAACGAGTGAACTATACAAAATTTAGATTTCTTCAAAACCTTAAAAGTTTTACTGTTCGAGCTTACCTCTTCGTTTTCCGCATCCGTCAACGCTAGAGAATGCAACCGATGAGAAGCGGAAAATGTTTCAACCCTTTCCAATTCGACGATCGGCATTCGTCTAATAATAATTCCTAGCAAACAGCTCGACTTGGTTAGTTATTATTAGCTGATCATACAAATCTGCCACATTCCATTTCAATAACTTTAGATTTATTCGGTCTATAATACTCTTTAAAACACAACAATAAACTACAGCAAAGAAAACACCGGTTCATAATTGGCTATCACAACGCGAAAATGTATGGAAAAGGCTATAACTAAGGCACACAGGTTATGTGAAGGTAGATCGGCAAAGTGGGCATGTCGATTGATTTGACGACTCGAACCATTTGAACTAAAATGCAATATATTTAGGGATACAAGATTATTGACAAGAATGGGCAATATTTCGAGCGGAAACGATTTTTTCAAAAAAAAAACTTAGAAAAATCGCTAAAATTGGGTTTGGTCGAAAAATCGACAGTGTTGTATCTTGAATGTCTATCCCGTGTTTTTACAATAAAATGGGAATAAATAAGGCTACAAGTTTTCATTTTTTATAAGAATTAGCTATCTATTAGATGGAAAATTGAATTAGAGAACATAGAAAAATGGCTAGAAAATTGTAATTTTCGTCGAAAACTGGATATGTGTCATATATATACAGGGTGTCCCAAAAAAACGAACCATCTGGCATTTCGCCGTGTTACATCCAATCGGCCCCAAATTTGGACCAGAGATGTATCAGACCCTAAATAACAACAATCCTGACTTATAGCCCGGTAGCTACAGTCGTTCTCGAGTTATAACGAAAATACTGCTTTTCCCGGAATTCTGAACGGTTTTTTCGGCTATCTTTTTGGACTTTACATCGATTTGCATCGACTTCCGGCTGCGAAACCCTAATTTCGCTTAAGAACTTGGGTAATTTTGCGTTGTAAAAATCGCTTAAATCGAAGCGTATTTAATTAATTTTACTCTGGAAAAAAATTCTTAAGGTAAAGAAGGCCTACCGGAACATTTTCACTTAATGTCTAGGTGGTCTAATTCCACGAAAACCCTACGAAAAACGATAAATAAACTTTGTTTTGGCTATAACTCGAGAACTACTATAGCTACAGGGCCATAAGTCAGGATTGTTGTTATTTAGGGTCTGATACACCTCTGTTCCAATTTTGGGGCTGATTGGATGTAACACGGCGAAATGCCAGATGGTTCGTTTTTTTTGGGACACCCTGTATATTTTAAGCAAAATTTGTAAACTGGCCCTCTAAGAATAATAAAAAAACATTGTAAAAACAATTCCCAACAAAAGTGGTGGAAAATTTCTCTCCCGATATTGAAAAAAGAACCCAAATTCCTACCAAGCAATTCGAGTGGAATTTATTCTTGCACTGCTTGCACTTGACCCTGGGTAGTTGATGGGAAGAGGCGTGGACACTCATCATGCAGATAGTACAAGCCTCAGCCCCGGCTACCTCCTTGTCCACCTAAATTTCAACATTTAATTTCCCCGTGGAAATCGATACTTGTTTCTTCCACGATACCAGCCCGTCCAGCATCGACCCATTTTGATGGAACAAATACGTCGTCAGCTGGAGTAGCCATTTTTTCGTCCGTTCAGAGGCGGCGACCGACTGAAATAGAATAGAATTGAAAACAAATCAAAAATTTTAACATTTGAAAATCTGGCTCTATTGCATTATCCGGGGGGGGGGGTAACGCTTGATATAAGCCTAAATCTTTCCGGTACGGAATATCAAGTTTCTTAATAGAATTGCTCCTAAAATTTAACAATTTCAAATGGAAAATTCATACAAAAAAGTTCTAAAAATCAAAGTGTTGCTCAAAAAACTATATATTATATATTTTGCAGCATTTTTTGAAATATTTTACGTTAGAGTACAAAAAAGTGTAGAGATAATGCGGAAAAAGTCTCCCCGATACTGGAAAAGCTCCAAAACTTTTTTAACAAATTAACTTTCAAATTGAAAATTAAAATGACAATTTCAAAATCACCTTATCAAGGGTAACTTGTGGTACATGAAGGGGCCAATCGCTCGGCAGGACGATGACCAGCCGCATCGTCGTCTCTTCTACCGTATACTCGGTCACCACCTCGCCAGCCGCTGGTAGCGTTCGTATCTAGAAAAAGGTCATAAAAACACCACAAAGATACCTTGAGCGTATTCTCCGTATTGTCGATGCTCGGCACACCTTCGCGCACCTTGGTCAGCTCGGCGTCGATGCCCAACTTGGACAAGTTTTCGCGGAAGAACCTAAGCCAAAAATACGCTAATTTTCGCAGCAATACTTGTTGACGGAAATTGATGGGGCCCGATCGAGCTTGTTGTACCACATACGGACGAGGGCTGGCACTTGTTCTACTAATCTGAAGCAAAAAAAAAAATTAAATTCTTACAGTTATATATTTTTACCGATAGAGAAGGGAACAGGCAAAACGGCAAATCGTGTCTGCCGCTTCTTTTGGTGGCTCCGTGGCGAAGTAGCTGGCGGGATTGGTCCGAGCTAAAAATAAGTTGGCATCAAAAAACCTCCAAGAAAAAAACTCACGAGTTTGCTGTGAAGCCAGCGAGACGACGACCGGAAGAGCGTGGAGGATCAGCGGCACCATCCCATCGCAATAGACGACCCGCTCGGAATGCGTCGGGAAAAGCGGGAAGATACGCACGCAGGCATCCAGTGCCAGGCATGACGGCAACGAGTGAGAGGCTAAAATGGGGGAATTGAGGAAGGGTAAAATGGGCAATCAAAGAAAATTATTTTAAGATGTTATTAAACCGATTAAATATGTTTCCAACGTCACTTCATGCAAAATATTCTAGATATGTAGAAAATTTGATAGAAAATCGTAGAAAAATAAATTTAAAAATTAACGCAAAAGTAAAACCTGGAGCTCAATGGTCAAAAATTTCGGGCTGCCAGGGTTGCAACAGCCTTAAGAAAGTGCCCTTCCCACCTAAAACTATCTCTCGAAACGCGATAGGTGGCTGACGAGCCTTTTCCCCATCAACCTTCAGCGTCTCCCCCGACTCTTCGGCGTAGTCCCCGTTTTCTTGGCGGTACATCTTCCAGGAATACCTAAAAAATTAGCTACTCACGAAGGGCAGATACTTACATTGACATCAAATGATGAGCCGCAAATTGAGCGTAATGATTTTTGGATTTTATGAGTTGAGCGCATTGTTCGATGAAAGCCTGTTCGACGCCAGAATACCTTGAAAAAGCGTTAATTTCCGGATTTACCCCTACTTGAAGGCATCGTATTGTGGCAGATAGTGCGGAATGAAGCGGAACTCTTGGTCGAAGTTCAATTCGGCGATCGACCAGACGGCCCGGCAGAGGGGCAGTAGAAAGGGGCAAGCTTCGGGGTCTTCTAAAATACCTTCAGAAAGAAAAGGCCAGCAAACCTGGATCGACCAAATCGACAAAGAACCGTAGAATTATGCCAGAGATTGTCGGGTAGAACAGTTCTTGCCATTCCTAAAATATTAGATATTTCCCGATTTTAGTGCAATATACCTTTCTGAAATCTTCAGTGGCAGAGTTCTTCGCAAAATCGACGGCAGCGACCCATAGGCGGAGGCCCAAGGAAACATTGGTGATCGTCAGCTGGCTGGCAGCTCGTAGCGCCTCGATGTTGGCCAGTGCAGAATCACAATGCTAAAAATAGAAAATTTTTTCAGTTTTTATTATTTTTCATAGACGTTCGATTCACTCAGATCTTTTTAAACTCTAAAAATCTCCCCTCCCCTCGCCAATGGACCAGCACCAAAAAATGGTTTTTGAGCTTCCGTACATCGAAAGTTGTCAACAGCCCACAGACGACGAAATCGAGCACTGACGAATCGCATTCCTTCTTCGAAGTCAGGATTCGAAGTGCCGCCCTCAAAGCGCAGATGCTGAGACGTTCTTGGGGTTTCCTAAAATGGGTCTATCTGAAAAGGATTTTACTGGACGCTTACTTAGGGATAAACAATTCAAATTCGGTAGAGCCAGATGCGACGACCCGGTTCAGCGCTTCCAGAAATTCAAGAGGCGGCTTCTGGTGGTAACTACAATTTATAATTTTTGAGGAGCCATTCCCTGCCTACCGTAACAGCCACCTTTCATCTTCGGTCAGTGGCGTCTTTATAACCTGCAGGTTTCGGAGGGCACACGCGACCGGAAATTGAGAGACTTCGGGTAAATCCTCAGGAATGTCCTGAAAAGGGAATTAACAAACCAGACTGGATCTACCTGGTTTTTCGAAAATCGGGCCATGTACCGGATCGCCAATAATGCCGTCAATGGAATCGGATTTGGGAGCGAGATCAACGTTTTCAAGATGATAGCTGCCAATTGAGCATCGTTCTGAAAATGCACTTATAAATAACTCCAAAATTATCACCTCAATAGTCGTCTCGAAATTATGGGCAAATTCCTCATCGAATCCATGGTCTTCGTCAAAGTGATAGTACTCGATCCCATCAATCGATCTCAATGCTGCGTAGACGGCAGAAATGCACAGAGCGAAACGACGTGATGACAGCTGGAAAAAGTTCTACAGAGAGCCACGCCAAAAATACCGTTGGGGTCCCAACTTTCAGCGATAAAAGCGCCTTCTTAGAGAAGATTTTTCGCAGCTCTGGCCAGCTCAGAGAATTTTCTTTGCAGCAATTTGACGTGGACGGCATGACGGCCAATTCGGCCAACGCAATGGGGAACGTCTAGAATAGCTCGAGAATAAAGAATGAGATCTGTCACTTACAAAAGAATCCAAGGATTCCAGAAACCTTGTCAACTCGTTTTGATCCGGAAGTATCGCCGTGTAATATTCATTCTCCGAGCACAGCCGTGTAAGAAGCATCGCCGTATTACGCACCCTGAAATTAAAAGGTCGTCAATTTCTTCGAAAAATACTGATCGTAAGAAGCTTCTCGTGTTAGGCGCTCCCATGCCGCCTTTAAGCTTTGCGAACTTGGCAAGTTGGCGGTCAGAAATCCGACGACCGATTCTAAAACTTGAATAAGTTTTTACATAAATTTCTGACCAATTTGCGCGTCCGCGAGCTGCATAGCACACACCTGACCAAGCACCAAGTCGGCCATTTCACTGGCATGAGCGAGAGATAACTAGAAAAAAAACACAATCTAAATCGAATAAAACTACGTACCCGAATTTTCTCGCAAATTACAATCACTAGCAATAAATTGGCAGGGGTAAGCGGCAGCTTTTCAGCCAGATACGCATCAAAATACTTCTTTTTCTCCGCCGGCTCCATCATGGCCAAGATCCGGATGACAGTGTTCAGCTTAGCAGGATCGGCATTCGCGTGTGAAAAATCTGCAGGTGAAAAGAATTCAATCGAAATCCTTTTTGTACCTTCCAAAATCTTTGTCTTGTTTTCTCCGGCGAGGACGATTGGCTCAACCTTCGCCCAGATGTCGTCGGGAGCCGTCGCGATTATACGGTCCGTCAGCGGACTACCGCCCAACTAAAAATTTTTTTCGAATTAGGGATTTTGGAAACTGGAATATATTTATTTGGTATATGTCGGCTACGCGGGGGGGGACGGACTGTTGGGGCCGAGCTAACTATTTTTTTTGCGTTTCTTTTTGCTACAAACAAAACTCTTAGCATATTTTTCGATGCTCTGTCGAATGGCACTAAAGAAATTTTGTAAAAATGTCGAAAATGTCGAAAACTTGATTTCGTTCTATGTCCTCCATGGAAACAACGTTTAATACTTGTTTTTGTTATAACTATTTTATAGTACGTTATTTTGAGTTAAAATTAAAACTCTTACTATATTTTTGGACGCTCTATCGAATGGCGTCATTAAAATGTCGAAAAAATAGCGCGAATGTCAAAAAACAGCCGCTCAAACCGATTTTCAAAGCTTATTTTTGTATTTGCCATAACTTTTTTATATTACACTAATTTTAGCTAAAACAAAAACTCTTAGTATATTTTTCGGTGCTCTATCGAATGCCGTTGCAAAAATTCCGAGAAAATAACGAAAACATCCAATAATGCCTGCCTGTCCCGTCCCCCCCCGCGTAGCCGACATATACCATTTATTTCATCGAAATTTCATATCAACGAATCTTCATCTGACCGAAAAGTACAGAAAGTTAAGTTATTGATTTTTCGGCAATAAGAAATTCGCAAAATTCTAATTCGATATCAATGATGAGATATCAGTCCCGAAAACGCACCTGTTGCTCAAATTTATCGAGTGTGATCAGCCGGATGGAGAGTTCAGCTATCGCCTCAAGATGAGCCGTAGGAATTGTAGCGCCCAGCCTGGAAAACCCATACCGTTTGCCAAAAAATTCGCAAATACCTGCCGATCACCGCAGCGAGGCTGAGTTGCTCGTTTATCGCCATGAGGTAATCAGAATAGTTTCCATTTATAGCGGATAGAACAGTGGGCTTTGACGGGCAAGGGCCAGATAAAACGGAGACGACAATTGGCAAAAGTTGCTCTTGAGGCTCGACGAGAAGATTTTTCAAGAACCCATCAATCGGCTTGTTCTGAAAAAAAAGTTGTTATGCGGATCGAGGGCTTCCGCTTACCGTATTAGCCAAATTCAAACCGATGGTGTCGATGACCGTCTCGACCATTTTCTTCGGCAACCCGTCCTTCACCACGAGCCATCGGATAAAGTCAGTCAGAGGCTGAGAATTTTCCTCACTGTCTGTCGCCAAAACTTCTACGGCTTTTGTCAACTAAAAACAACAATACAAATGCGAATGTGGTCTTTTACGACAAAAAAAAGCCGAAAAATCTGCGCACCGCGTTCATCACCGTATCATAAGTCTGTTGCTGTAGCCCCGGACGTGTCAACGTAAATTTCATACACTCGACCAACGCCGAAGCCCAAAACGATTGAAGCGAAGAGACCTAAACTGCAAATACCGACCGAGTAATAAAATGACCTCAAACGGAAGGTTATCAAAAAACGAGTCAATGAATCGCCGCAGAAAACCGTCGCGCTCCTCCCCCTCAGCTGGCAATGCTTCATAAACGATCGAAAGGGCCGGAAGGAACAACGGGCCACAGTGACGCCAATGTCTTGAAAAAAACAACAGAAAAATCAGCTGAGAAAAGAGCCTTACAAGTCCTTCTTCCGCACAACTGTCAGAAGCCGTGGCAGGACCCCTTTGATCAGGTTGAACTTTTCAAAGAATTCGGGCAAGGAGACGATTTTGAGGAAGGTGTTGAAGCATGTCTAAAGTTTTTGTACAACGGCAGAGTGAATGGTGTTACCTGGCAATTTGTGGCATCTGCAGAATCGAGATTCTGGATAACCCAAGCCGAGAGGGCAGATTGGATCAGAATCTGCTGCACTTGATCCCCGCCCGATAGTGCCAACCGCAAGAAGCCAATTTTCACCTAAAATAAAACTATCTTTTGGTTTAAAAAAACTTTACATGGTCCGGGCTTTTCATCACCAATTTCACCGTAGCGGCATCCGAGAATAGTTGGGATATCAGTTCCGCAGCACTGTTGTTTTCAGATTTTTGCAGCATAGCGAGGGTCTAAAAACCGTAAAAAAATCTAGATATTCTCCAAACATTTAAAGATTGTGCGACTAATCGGGAGTACCGCTGCTCAGCTTCTTCCTCGACGTCATACCTGAAAAAAAGGCAATTTACAAATAACAGGTAAGCAAATATACCTCTGCGCTTCATTTAAAGCATGCTCTTTTCGCAAAAATTCTCCAGATATTCTCGCCGCTTCGGGGCCAAAGATATTGATGAACTTGAAAAAAGCGTGATTTAGCTGTAATCAGAAATTCTTACCTGGTCACGCTTTTCAGCCGGGAAATTTTCCGAAATAAACTTCTCAGCTCGCTGGGCAACGGAACCGCTTGGGTCCGATTGAGCAAATATAACGAATGGAGCGATCTGAAGCATTCATGATTGTTGGCTGATTTATACTAACCTGTTTGAGATATTTCTGAGCCGTCTTCCTCAAACCCGATACATAGAAACTCAAGGCGCGTAGAGCATAGGCCCGCACGGGCGCCGAGCCATCCTAATATTGCTTTAGGTAAAAGCCAAGAAAAACTTACCAAAATCAGCTTATCAGAACTGGCAGCGAAATACCGAAAGATTTCTAGAAGGACCGCCGGCTCCCGATTGTCCGAGGCTTCTAGCAGCTCCCGTAGCGCCTAAAATCGGTCTTTAGGCTCTAAATTTGCCACGAACCTTTTCCCTTGTTAGCGGGTCCTTCTTGACCAGCTTTTTCAAGACCAGCGCCACTTCTGAGTCCAACTCGACGGCGTTCGAGGTTGCCGGCGACTCGCTGAAGGCGGCTGTTGCTGCTTCGAACGGGTTATTCGCGCCGTGGGCCAGGAATCCAAGGGCATTGCCCTCGGCTCGGGCCAATAGATCGGCTGCTCGGCCGCTGCTGGCGCTCTAAAGCTGGGATAAATATTGGCTCTGTACCGATAGCACGGGGCAATGACAACAGAACGGGGCATTGACAACAGAACGGGGCATTGGCAACAGAACGGGGCAATGACAGCAGAACGGGGCAAAGCCAGCAGAACGGGGCAATGGCAGCAGAGCGGGGCATTGCCAGCAGAACGGGGCATTGCCAAGTCCCCGCGGCCGGCGGCCAGCAGGACGGGGCATTGCATATTTTCTCAGAAAAACGTATTTTTATGATCTCTCGTCTACTTTTTTCTCTGATTATATTTTTTGGATTCACAGAACTGTTTGTCAACCAGGCCGAACGTTTCTAACTAGGGAAGTCCAAAATACCCCGCAAGACGGATCGGAATGAGATTTTGTACATTTATAGATGCGGCCAGGCTGATAATCGCCTCGATTTCCGAATCTGCTACAGAGCCTAGAAATTTGAGATATTAAAGTTTAGGTGTCATTTTTGGGGCCTCGGAAAAGGGTTTGTCAGGATATCGATAATCTATCATCAGGGAAAAAAGTAGGCGAGAGACCATAAAAATACGTTTTTCTGAGAAAATATGCAATGCCCCGTCCTGCTGGCCGCCGACCCCCCCTGACCAAACCAATGCCCCGTTCTGCTGGCCGCCGGCCGCGGGGACTTGGCAATGCCCCGTTCTGCTGGCAATGCCCCGCTCTGCTGCCATTGCCCCGTTCTGCTGGCTTTGCCCCGTTCTGTTGCCAATGCCCCGTTCTGTTGTCAATGCCCCGTTCTGTTGTCATTGCCCCGTGCTATCGGTACAGAGCCTAAATATTTAGAGGGGGTATCAACCTGTGCATTGTTCTTCCGACGCGGTTGCTTGCTCATTTCGGCGGTTTCTAAAGGAGAATTTGTAATTTCATACTAATTTAAAGGTAAAAGTAATAATAAAATAATAATGAATAAAAATAGATTAAAAAAAGATAATTTATTCTTCGAAGAAAAATTTTTTCTGAGAAGAATCACTACGCGTCAGTCCACTTTACAAAAATTTGGACGGATTTTGAAACAGCAATGCTTTTCTCTTTCTTTTTTTCTGTCACTTTTCACAATTTTTACAAAATTTCAAAGAAAGACTAGAAAACAACATTTATCAAAGGTTTTTGCAATCAAACTATCCAAATCCTTTTATTTTCAAAGGTTTCTCTCCGTTGCGTAATCCAACCAGCCGCTCTCCCCCCTAAATGTTGTCCCCGGTTCTTTGCCCGTCGGCGCCCTCTCACTCTTCCCACGGGAAATGACCCCCGGCGCAGCTAACGTGACAAGCCCCCTACGCACCCAATTCCAGCGCTCCGATGGAGCCGGTTGCCCCGACTGCTCACTCATCCCCTAGCGGGTGTCACAATCAATTCTATCATCTCGATTTTGTTTTTTATGTTTGTTTAGCTAGATAGATAACATCGCGCGATTTCGTTATAGACGACGTTGGTTTTGATGACTCATTTCTCTCGGGGTCCATCGATACATAGTTTGTTTGTTTTTCTAACTTGTTTACAAGCTAAAGAATGACATTTTGCAGCCACTCTATATCATTGGAGCTTTTAGTTGTCTGAAAGAAAAATCGTCTCAAACGACCCTGTTTTAGCTCTACTTTCTTCGAGTTGTTAAGAATAACAAGCGTTATCTATTGATCTCTACTCTTTAGTTTGACTTTATCAACTTGTAAACTCGTTGGGGCCCCCTCTGTAGACCTCCCGAACCCCCCCCCCCCCTTTACCCCCCTACTTAGGGGGGTTGGAGGGGGGTTGGGTAGGGGGGTTTTGGGGGGTTGGGCAGGGGGGTAATGGGGGGTTGGGGAGGGGGGTGTTGGGGGGTTGGAGGGGGGTTGGGAGGGGGGTTTTGGGGGGTTTTTTGGGGGGTTTTGGGGGGTGTTTTGGGGGGGTTCGATACATAAACTATAAGTTAACTACACTTATTATACTAAGGTTTTTTGCTTACTATTAGCTTTCGCAAGTATTGAACAACCACTACGGCACGAAAAAAGTTGGAAACTGATTGGTTTTGTCGGTTTTGCTTGCTGCCAATGGATAACAATTGATTAAACTAATTTTTTGTTGGTTTCTACCACGAAATCTATTTAAAAAGTGTACACTAGCTTTCCTATATACAATACCTGCGATTTGACAACTTTTTAGACACGAAATCTTCCTGAAAGCAAAATTTTTGATAGAATTTTCATTTCCACGCTCAAGGCTGGCAAAACGCTGCAACTTTGGGCAAAACGGTTTCCCAATCAGTTATTTGTGTAGGGCATAGCATTACAATCAATTAATGGTGTCATTCCGACAATAAAAACAAGCCACAATCTCAAATAAAGCAAATAGAGCAATTCACCGGGTAAAAATCCGGGTCGTATTGGGTTAAAAAAGAGTTCGACAAAAAATTGACTGTCCTCTAGGCTTGTCACACCCCCCAGAACCGAATACCCAAAAAGCAAAAAGTTTTCCCCGCGGCCGGGAATCGAACCCCCGACCCTCTGCTTAATACCCTATAGGGGGGTTGGGAGGGGGGTTTTGGGGGGCTGGGCGGGGGGTGTTGGGGGGTTGGGAGGGGGGTCGGGTAGGGGGGTTTTGGGGGGTTGGGCAGGGGGGTTTCGGGGGGTTGGGCAGGGGGGTAAATGGGGGTAAAGGGGGGTATATGGGGGGGGGGGGGGTTCGGGAGGTCTACCCCTCTGCGTAGACAACTTCCGCTCTAAAGTCTGTGGCCCAGTTGCCCTGACGACCGCCGTATCTTCTCTTCTGGTGCAGCTGGTCCCTAATTGGTCCCGTTGGCCGCTCCCCCTGTTCATAATTCCATGCCAAAAATTCCTCAACCATCTCTTCGATTTCATGACAGCAAGAAAAATACTTTTCTTTTCAGGTTGTGGGATGGCGAGTAGAGGTGGACAGGGGACGACAAGGACTGCGCCAGCCGGAGGAAACAGGACATGCCAGTTTAAGCTTGTTTTGCTCGGTGAAAGTGCTGTAGGTGAGTGGTTCGATTTCGTCTTTCATTCGATAATGCCTCTCAATTCGTATGCGGGCCCGTTCGCTTGCGAAATTGATACCCGGGTGTTATGACGCGGTGGCGGCTTTGTTTATCGCTTCCATCGATCGTCGCCTTTTGGTTGCATAAGTACCGAATAAACAACCCGGGCCGGCTATCTCCCGTTGTAAAATTGAAACAGTTCACAGGGGCGATGGAATTCGTTGTCCCGGACGGTTTTAAATCTCCGTTTTTCAGGCAAATCTTCACTAGTACTTCGATTTGTGAAGGGCCAATTTCACGAGTACCAAGAGTCTACGATTGGAGCCGCTTTCTTGACGCAAACTGTTGTTCTGGATGATGCGACCGTCAAATTCGAGATCTGGGATACGGCTGGGCAAGAGCGGTATCACTCTTTGGCTCCTATGTACTACCGCGGCGCCCAGGCCGCTATAGTGGTCTACGACATTACGAACGCGGTACGAAATTCTTTTATTTTATTTTATTCTTTTGTTACAGGACTCCTTCCAAAAGGCCAAAAATTGGGTGAAGGAACTGCAGCGCCAGGCCTCCCCAAACATTGTGATGGCTCTTGCCGGTAATAAAGCCGACGTTGCAAACCGTCGTGCGGTTGAATACGAGGAAGCCCAGGTATGATTTATGTTTTGAAGCAATTTCTTTCTAGGCATATGCTGAAGACAACTCCCTATTGTTCATGGAAACCTCTGCCAAATCTTCGATGAATGTTAACGACATCTTTATGGCAATTGCACGCAAGGTATACTTTTGCTCGACAAAAATTACTCAAATTCTCCCCCTCTCAGCTGCCTACCGGACCACCCCCTGGTGAACCGACCGGGACTGTCGATATCAACGCCGCAAATAATGCCCAGCAAAAGGGGGGCACTTGCTGCAAATGAATTTTTGAAACTTGTCCTCGAATAATTCTTACCATATTTGAATTTTGTCAATTTCTGTGAAATGTGAATAAATGCCCGTACCATCAATAAATTTTTTGCAACTCTGCTTGGGGTGAGTATGAGCATGGTATGGTGGCATATAGAAGTTCGAAGTTGCGGTGAACCATGCTTTTTCGAAGGGGTTACTTACAGGGGTGGCTGCTGTAAGCGTTGCAGCTTCAGTTTAGCATTTATCTTTTTAGAGTTTGGCGTTGCTTTCTCCCGGGGTTTTTTTTTGATTCCAGGCGACGCGTGGTTTATGATAGTGACCTACACAGTTACAGACTTAGGCAATGTTTACTTACAGAATTCACCAAACTGATTCCCAAAGATTGCACATTATTGAACGCTAGCTGCTTCGCGAAATCTGAATCCCAAAACATCTTTTAGGCGCTTTCAATAAGCGTCATGAGTCTGAACCCTGTATTCTATATTGAACCATAGCCTTGCAAGTCAGATGGGGAGAGGGGTATTTCATCATGTGTACCATTCGACTTCCAGCCGGCCGTGCAGAGGCTTGTCACGTCCGGGGTAGTCCAGCCTTGCCCGAGAACTGGATGAAGATCCGAACGGCCGTGTAGATCACTCAAAAAATGGAAGATCGGTCGGGAAGCAGCAGTTCTTCGCTTTTCACCAGCGGCTCTGATTCTTCATCCACGTACCCGCCTTCCGACCTTCCGTATGTTTGATTACGCGTTGAATGGGCGGAGAATTGTTACGCAACTTCATTGCGAAATATTCAATATAGGTTTGGTTTCGAGAAAATTCTCACCTCAAAATTTGCCCGCTCTTTCGTTAGATAGCCGCTAAAAATCGTCTAAATATTTACGGTTAGATTTCTTTTAAAACCACCAGCGACAAATGGTCGTTACGCCCCAAAACTTTCAGGGAATACATCCGCGAAGACGACGTGCTCCCCGCGACTCCTTATATCAACGCTGATCCCCGTAGTCGACAAGGCATCGTCCCGGATCCCCGGCGCTGTCACGGCTCAATCGAACAGTTTGAAAGGTTAGAAAAGTCTTTCTTTCCTCTAAATTTATTTAGGGGCAACAACCCATTCAATCTAAGCACGCGGGGCCGCGGCCATCCCCATCACACCACCCCGGAAACGACATCTACATCAACACAAGCTGGTGCCGGATTCATGGATTCTGGCGCCGGACCGTCAAATCAAGCGCTTACGACGGTGAATGTGCCTAGTGCAACGATGACTTCATCTCAACCTGGCCCCAGCACAGGCCGTGGAGTCTCGGCTAGAAGGCCTGCGGTTCGGACGCTCGTTTTCGACAATCTCAATGTGAATCCCGACATATTTCCGGAAATATGTCCAGCACCGTAAGTTTTTACTGAGTGTTTAGCTTTCACTTGATAAATATAGTTTGCGATCTGGATTTTGACATTTTTAATAGTTTTCTAAATAGTATTTCGACTTTAGAACTAGCTAAGTTTCAGTAAAACTTGTTATAGTACCTGCTATAGCGTTCTAATTACAGGAATAGAATTCCGACCTTCCCGACAATACTAAAGAACCTAAAATATAAATTGATTATATATTTTAAAATCAGAAAAACAGTAAAGAAGGTGTGCGTGAAGTTGTCTTTGCAAAAACTGAAGGCAGGGAGAACCTGGAAGCAATGTTGAGCAATATTGAAGCAATCCCGTAATTCTCAGATTCGGCCACGAACCTGCTTGCCGCCCCGTGGCACTGAGAGGATTGTCGGAAGACGGAAAGGTTTGCTTTTTTTAATAGCTACTCTAAAACCCGAATTTTCTGTAGAAACCAGCAATCCGAAACATGATCGACTTCACCCAAATCCTGCCCGCCAAGCCTCCCTTCACAGCCCCAGAGCCAGAATTTGTCGAAGACGTCACGGATCAGCAACAATATACGGGCGCTGAGCGGCAGCGTAAAATAACTATAATCGACGACTTTACCGGGTTTTTTAGGATATCTAAAGCTGCACGCCAAAAACTTGAAGCGATTGGAATACGAGAAGACGGCCCGCGTCTCGCTGCCAATGGAAGCGCTTCGACTATATTTCGTAGGGCCGATTCAAAAGAATTCATAGAGATTTAGAACCCGCGAAAATACATAATGATGGCGCCGCGGAAGTCGGACGAGCTGAAGTGGCAGGGCGTGCTGGAAGGGCAACCGGTTGGTTTTTTGACGATGGTTCAAAAAGTAATTATCGTTGTGAGGCTGTTATGAAGCAAATTTTTTGGGAAAGACAGTAATTTTCAGCAGAATTGTTGTTAGTTTAGAAATGTGCATACTTTAGGAATAAAATTAATGCAAATTTAGGACACACCCTACGAGGGTGGCTATTTCTGGTTTCAAGTCCAGTTCTCCGGTCTTTACCTCCGTGAGGCGCCACAGGTATGTTCTTATTGAGCCAATGCTGAACTAGTAGTAAAATAGACTGTATTTTATAGTGTTTTAATCGTTTCCGATCAGCGCAATTATATCTAGAAAAAAATAGACATTTAAATAGGCTAAATTTTGTAATTTTTTACTTTTTACAAATCTTTGTCAATTTTTTAGCTTTTCTTCTTTAATTCGTACGAAACTGTTAGATATAAATGTTTTCTAATTTATTTTCGCTTTTACGGGGAAAATAGTTATTTAGCTTTCCGCAACGCTAAAAAAGCCAGGAATTTGACATTGTTAGGGATTCACGCTGTTCCAAATCCTACTATATATAAAAAAATAGTGTTTGTGTGTGTGTGTGTGTGTGTGTGTGCCACTTTGCATGCAACTTCCGTCAGCGTGTTCCAGCAGTATCTCAAGAAGGAGAGTAGTTAGGGACGTTTTTGATACGTCATTAGGAGCGTAATGGTCTGGAGATGACTGCACACATATCGGATTGACCAAAATCGCCTATTTCCGACATTAAATTTTAGTTTTTGTTGAAAAATCCGAGACCCTCTTTGTTAGGAATCAATTAGCATACACCGGAAGTGGCGGTAGCCTATTTCAAGGAGTAGAGAGCGTATTTTTCACTTTTTCAACGAGAGTTGGGTGGAATTATGCAAAGTGTAAGCTTTCATTCGTCCAGCACGGGGCCAGGGTTGAAAAGTCGCGAAGCGGCTTTTCAACCCTGGTACCTATGAAAACACTTTCCAGATAACATTCTTAACCCGAGTCTGGCATCCCTATGTCTCAGCCAAGGGCTCGCTTCTGCTACCCAAAGAACAGCTCGACAAATACCCGGAAACCGCCATCGACGGGCTGCTCGACTGGATGGTGGAGCTTCTGTTAACGATACCTCCAGGTAGAATTAAAACCGCAATAAAACGCCATTACAATGGAACATTAGTGAATTAAAAATTTGCAGATCCTCCCGGCCCGTATTCTTCAATTACCACTCAATTCCCCGCCGAGCGTGAAGACCCAAATGACGACGACCCAGAGGCCATCGCCCGCGATCGGGCTCGTATGGCCCGGGAGTGGACCAAGAAGTTCGCGCTGGGCGGTGGATAAAAGCCTGTATTTACCAATAGAAGATGTATAGGTAGATAAATTATATATATATTCTATTTATTGCGATATGTACATACAATAAATTGCCTATTTGAAGGATCTTTTAATATGGCGAATTCATGCCTAGTTTAGTATCAAATGCCAATTTTCGTCGGCGCTGTTCCCGCATGAACAGGCGGCGTTGCGTCAGTTTTCGGACCTAAAATAGGGTTTTAAATATTTTAGACTTATAAAATAACAAAGGTCAAAATGGAAATTTGTAAAATAGAAAATAGTCAGTACTTATTTTACTTTTTTACAATACTTATTATCTCACCTCGTTTACAAGAAGAATACAGATGCTCCAAACGACAAGCCCGAATAGCTGGGGTGTCGTGATGAGGTTGAGAAGATTCGCGTCAAGTGATATCGTGGAAAAAATAAGCTAAACGGGAATTTCGTTTTGTTTTGTAAATTTGGGGGTATTTTCTCTTTTCGGGGGGTCAGGATCTTTCTTAGGACCTAGCTCCTGATATTAATAGAGGAATTGTTTTTAAACTTTTCAAAGTTTTTAAATTGTTTTTTAATGGTTAAATTTTGTCAAAAACACTGTTACAATACTTGCTAGGCGTAGATGGAATCAGGATAAATCTGACCCCTGGAAATACTAACCTACTCCAAATTTTACCTGCAGGAAGAGTAGAAACATGACTGTCAAAAGCCATAGAGGCCTGAGAAATACTCGGCTCTGATAGACCGGAAATAGCGGAGAAGCCCAGGATAACGAGTGGACGATGGTGAAACAGAGGAACTGAAATCGCGCTCTTCTTTTTTGAATTTTTTAATAGAATCAAACTTTTTTCTTTGCCCTACCTGAAACGCGACCAAATGCCGCACTTGCTCGGTGTTCAGCTTCAGATGGGCCGTCAGGGTGCCGTTGGACTCGCTTCTAAAACATGGCTTTTTCTGGGAATTGGGAGTGGCTCCCACTCATCGTGCAGATATCCCACCGAGCACACCAGATCCGAGAATTCGCACTCGAAATCGACGTGGCGGACGAGCTACAAGGGAATGCGTATTGGCGTTATATGATTACGATAGGAAATTCAGGAAAAGCTAGTATCTAGAAAATAACGTTTATTTTTATTTTTAAAATATTCTAAATTTTTGCTACTGACAAAATCCTTTTCTTAGACGTTTTTCTAAGCATTGCTGAAGCTCAAACCCTCTGTAAAACAAATTTTTGTCATAGATAAATGGCCCCTAAACTGACCAAGAAAAAGTACAGCGCCAACGTGAAGAGTATCATCGGCAGAAATTGTATACAAAATGACCAAAGGGCGCCGACCACTTCCTTCCTAAAAAACGGCATAATTTGAGGCTCATTTTTGAGTTAACCGGTTGACATGTTCCTGATTTTTGCCGGCAATCTTCACAAACTTCTTCCGCGGCAGAAATGAGCCCAAAAGAGGTGAAGTAGCGATTAATGGGAAAGAGATGAGCACGAAGAGTAGCATCTGGAATTGTTAGAATTCGTAGATTCTCTGCAAACCTGGTCCGGCTTGAAGACGATGGGGAGATAGAGAGCGGCTGAAAGGGCCACGAGAAGTGACAGGGACCCGGAGAGGAGGAGCAGAAATTGGAGCGCAATCCTCAGCGAGTACAGCCGATGTCGACAAGCGGTGATCAGCTCGGAGAGGAGGGGCAACTAACAAAAAGGTGGATTTTTATCAATTTTCTAGGGTACTGGGCTGTTAGTGGGGGAGGACTGAGTGAGATTTTACCCGGGATAAAAGCTATTTAGCCTATTCTTGTAAACCGAAGTTTCCGAAGTTTTGTCGTTTTTAGCAGTTTTTAGTCGCTAAAAATCATCGTAATTTAAAAATTTTACGATTCAAAATTTTTATTTTTTAATTTTTTTTACGTAAATCGTGATCAATACAAAACAGAGCAAAAAAACACACGTTTTCATTATCTGTCCCTGAAGGGCGATAGGCCAAAGTCAAACTCCAGTCTCCCCCACCCGCTAACAACCCAGTACCACTTCAAGCCCAACCTGCTGGTGCTGGAGCACAAAATTCGCCCCAATCTTCATGCAGTCCGTGGCGAGGGCGACGGCTCTGACCCGGGGCTCCACTTTTTCCTGAATCACACAATTTTTCAGTGACGTAATTAGTAAAGTACCGTTTTCGTCGCCTGACAATCGTCCCGCAACGGCTCCACACAAATTGAAACGTTGGCCTAGAAGTCATTAAAAAATGACCAGGTTTGTACCTGGCCAAAAATGCTGCCATTGGCGACGTTTAGCGACGAGCCTACGGCCAACACGAATTCACCGTATTCCTAACAAAAAAGACGCAGTAATAAAGTAATACTTTTTAGACGCACCTGCATGATGGCGATCATTTCCTTTGTGGCGCCGGGGGTTGAATCGGTGAAGAGGCCAACCTGTAGCGGGACGTTGTCGATTTCTTCGAGATGAGGTCGAACAGCCGATACCTAAAATGATATCGCAATTTTTTACCAAACTATTTATTCTTTTTCACGCCCGGTATCCAAAAAGCTAAAGCTATCATGAGGAAAATCGGTATTGGACTGTTAGGGGGGCTTTTAGCAGGGGGAAACTCATTTTGTCTTTCCGCCTAACTGTTGTAATATATAATGTTTTTACGGTGTTTTTAATAGTTTTTGATTGCGATAAACTTATCAAAAACATCTTAAAAAATCTGAAAATTCGAAAATCTTGACGTTTTTGGCCGTTTTTCATACTTCTTCGCCAAAAACTTCGACAACCTTTAGAATTTTTCGAAATTTTCTACATCTAAAAACAGTTTTAAATGCTATAAAAAATATATTTAGCAATAGGGCCGCACGAGATTATTTCAAATACTTTGTTTTCTCCCTGCCACCCCCCTCGTTAAGAATCCTGTACCGCAAAATTTACGATTTACAATAATAGGCCGTAAAAACTGCGCCAACGTCGTGATTGAGGTGACTATTAGAATTGTGTTTTTCACGAACCCCTTGCGGTAGTTGAGCCTTGTTCAGCAGCGGTGCCACCTTCTGGACACTGCCCGTTCGCGATGTGCTCCGAGAATATGGGCTATCTATAAGGATCAACTATAATAATTTTCTTGACGCGTCCGTCTGTCTGAAGCCGAATTCAACTCGAAGCGGGAAAAGAGCTAGAGCTTAGCTCTCCTCGGATCCGGATAGAGCGTGGTCAAAAATCCCCAAGCTGATAAAAAATTAAGAAAAAGTTATCGTTTAAATTATTAAAATTAACTTTGAAAGTTTTCCTTAGTAAAAGGAGTGGGGGACATAGTGAGCCAGGTCGCGCGCGTTTCGGCGCAGGGGAGGGAGCGCACAGGGGGTAGCCCGAACTCCAGCCGCTTGCAGCGGCAAGGCCGCTGTAAGCGGCTGGTATTGATTAAACCACCTTAACAAAAACGCATTAACGAGATCCTACTATATATAAAAAAATAGTGTCTGTGTGTGTGTGTGTGCCACTTTGCATGCAACTTCCGTCAGCGTGTCCGGAGGATATCTCAAGAAGGGAAGGGATGAAGCGGGCGTATGATACGTCATTGGACGCGTAATGGCCTGTAGATGACTGCACGCATATCAGATTTTTCAAAATCGATTGTTTTCGACA